TCGGAGGCGCATGCGCGTGAGATCTCCACGCAAGATCATCAGCCAAACAAACAGGCAGTAGGCAGGCAGGCAAGCAGGACCCAAAACGATAATCAGTGCTGACATTTTAGCCTGTGTTGCCAACAGTTTTGTGTATTTTAATTTGAGTTTGAATGAGAATTTTTCAAATATTCCAAATATTCTCTTTTTTAAAGATTTATTTTTATTTATTCGATTATAGAGTAAGCATGAACTAAAAATGTAAAAGATACAGTAATAATATAAAACTAAATACTTATCTGTGCTATTTCTTTGACCGTGGCTGTAAATAGTAATGTTCTATACACAGTTAGTCGGCACAAAGTTTGTGCATTTTTGCTGTTTATATTTAATGGTTGTACAATAAATATGAATTTCTTGTTATGGAAATAGGCTGTATAAAAACTGATCGAAAAATATTTATTTCATTATCACATTCCGATGGCCATTAAAGTAATATATAAGCACTTAGTCTAACAAATAAAATAATAAATATGTTTCTATATCTTTTCCATAAAAATGCAACACATTTCATATTTTTTATGTCGAACTTTTTGGCCTTTTTCTGCAACCAGCCTGTCCAGTTTTTGCAAACGATAGTTGGCAGCACTGGTCTACACACAGAGGGCAGCCTCCGACTCAGGCTCGAGTCTCGATCGGGCACCGTCCAGTTTGAGGCCGGGACCACACAAATACAGGCACGCGTTCGCTGACAGAATAAAAATTGTTGCGCTTGTGTTTAACGCGCGAACGCGGCGATATCGCAGCAGCAGCGGCAGCGACGTACCTTGTTTCCAAACTGGCTCCCTGATCCTCTCTCGTCTGCTGGCTCAGGTTAAAGTGGCAGGCAGGCACCGTTGTCAGTTGGCTGCGGGGGTGGGGGAGGGGCGAGGCAGTGGGTTCGTAGCATTGTCGGCTTGCTTAGCTATCACTGAACGATTATCGTGCATTTTAAAATTCTTACGAGTTTCTGCCGTTGTTGTCTTCAGCCTTTTTGCCTTTTTATATTGCCCTTTTCACTCGGCTTCAGTGTATGTGTGTGTGTGTGTGTGCATTTAAGGGGTTGTTGTTGTTATTGGTGTTGCTGTTGTTGTGTTGGCCTAAATGGAAATCACGCACTGGAACCACAAGCGTCGCCCTGCCCTCCCCCTCGTAGTGGATGGGATCTGCATAGTCTGCACACACACTCGCACACCCTCACACACACACACACACAGACATACAAATCTCATCTCGACAATAAAAACGCACACACCACTGCCTTTTAAACACACTTTTTATTAATAAGTATATATCTATGTATGTATAGAAATACATACTCATATTGTTTGCATCAATTTGTTAATTGCTTAGTATAGTTCTGGCTTACCACCGAGACGAGTTGGTTGTCATTTTCCTTGCTTTTCGTGGGTTTTCTTTCATTCACTTCTTTTTTTTTAACAATTTATTACATACTTGCAAATAGTTAACTAAATTACTACACAAATTGGTTGATAACGCTATCATAATGAATATGTTTTAATACTCGAACAATTGTTTTTTATTTTTTCGTATAATGCAAATGAATTGGGTTTGCCCTCGAAATGTAGTCGAGTCTATTGTTTGTCATTTGTTTCATTTGTTAGCTGTCGACAAAACTTTCACGGACAAATATTTACTCTCTATATAGATTTATATATATACGTATATATTCTTTAGTTAATAACCATGCTTAACAACAACATGTGCCGCCACTAAACAACAATAATAAATTGTTGCCCCCATTTAATGTGAGTTTTTTATGAGTAGGCTCAAAACGGAATTTCGATCGGATATTACTCATAATGCTGACTGCCAATGCTGCGCTCAAAATCGTATCAACCATAGCCTGAGCGATTTGTGACAATTTACTTGAAATAGTGATTAATGGCAGCCAGCTCAATCGGAAATCACAGAGATTAAATGGGGGTTTTTACATAGCTTAGTCGGGACGCGAACCACAAAGAATAAATCGACTTTGCTGAATTTCGAAAGATTAAATGGGGGAAAGTAATAATGTTAAGTGAAATGAGAACATTAAATTTGTATTATTGTGTTTGCTATTTTTGTCGAGAGTTATGTAATTGTAACATAAGCATTTGTCATAGATATATTCTATATATTTGTTATATAAATTATAGCCTATGTAAAAGACTCATGTAGAGCATTCTGAAATTGTTTCAATAGTTCTTCGGCGTTTCGTGTAAAAATTGCTAGTAAATGTTGTTTCAGTTGCTTTTGCATTACTTTGCTTCACTATAAGAGCTTGCTTGACACATTATAAAAAATCATTTGCATGTTTCCACTTGTTGCTTTGTATTTGTGGGCTGGATTGCATTAAATTGCTATATAGACTAACATATTTAGTTGAGTTAATTGTTGCATATTTAAGACAGTACATTTTTGTGTATGCATGCTTAACTGTTAACGAGATTTCCACATAAAAGTTCCATATCGGTGTTCAACGTTTTGATTTGGTATATCTCTCTCCCTTTTTCTGTTTTTTTCTGTCTCTGTATCGCTATCTATTGAGTTTTGACCGTTTTAGTTACAGTTCCTTTTACATATACACATAATTTGTTAAAAGTATTAACTATGAAACAACTAGTAGCAAACATTTTATTATTGTACTAATGCTACATAATTGCCAGTTCCAATCCTGACCATTTTTACTTTGATTGTGTTTTTTTTGAATAGAACTCTAAAGCTAACTACAAGTACATTTGATATTTTAGACATTTAGTGGTTTAATTTTTATTTATTATAATTTTTTTAATATTTTCTTCTGGCATACATTAGTATTCAATTCAATTCAATTATTTTCCATTAATTAATTTGCCTGGCGAACGCTCAATGTATATATATGTGTGTGATTTATTTTTTATTCTTGTTTCTAAATGGAGCTGGAGTTTTGTTTTTTAAATCTTTTTTTTAATAATATTATTGTTGTACATCAAGTTTTGTTTAGTTGTTAACAATTCATTAGCTGCTGATGCTGTCGAGAGCTGGCATAAATTATTCTTATATTTGTCTTCATTCATAAGTTTTTTTTTTTTTTTTTTTTTTTTATATATTTCTGGATCACATATTCAAGTAGTTTCAAAATCACATAAAGATCACTCTTACAGTAGCGTATACAAAATACATACATTTCCCATACATTGTGTGTGTATATGTCTCAGTAAATTAGTTATTTGATTTGTATATTTTGAGTTGTCATGAAAATGGGCTTTGTTCAGTTTCTCGATTTGTTTGTAGCTGAGGATGTTTTATTTTCCTTCTTTTTTTTTTGGTTTTTTCATAGTTGATTTTGCTAGTAATACGATGTTTGTGCTTGTAGATTAGATTAGTGTTTATTGCTATAAATACGTTGTGCCCAAAATGTTCAGAGTTAGAGGGTATTTCGATAGCGAGCTATTTGTATAGGCATTTGAATTTAGAACTCAACAGCTCCATTATAAAACCGTTATTAGTTTTTGAATTTGTTCCTCTTGAGTGTTCAATGATCTTTTAATTGCTTTGAATTGTCTTTCCCTTTTTGTTTTTAATTCATTTTATAATTCATTTGTTTGTCTAGAGTTATAATAATATTAAAGCATTTAATTGCAACCACACAATAACATGCACATTTAATTATTGTTTAGTTTATTACTTAATTTTTGGCTACTACATACACACAAAAGCCTTTGCGCTGCTTAGCTAGTTAGCTATAAAATATATATATATATATTTTATATGCTTTAATATCTGTATACCTATATAATGTGTATATATTCATGTTGATTTGATTTTCCATTTATCAATTTTTTTTTAAATTTTTTTATTTTTTATTTTCAATAAATGCCTAAGTTTCTGCATGTGAAATTCATACTTAAATAGTTTACTTTCTTGCTTTAAGTGATCAACTTGTTTGCCATTAGTTTTATAACTAATAATACGTTAGAGTTCATTATATTATATATATATGCTCAACTTTGTCATAAGCTACAATATATTAACCATTTGTATTTGCAGAAAATTTGTTAAAGACGGTTTTAAATTAGCTTCGGTTAACATTATTCATAGACTGTATTCGCTGTCTTGTGTTACGATTATTGTTTAATCTTGTAAATCACACGCTTCATTTTTTTCCTTTCTTTTTTTTGTAAATATTTTGTATTAGATATTCTTGTACCGTAAATATTGGCCATCAATATACATTTCTGACTTTGACATATTGTTTTACATTCATTTGACCGGCTTTTCATTGGAAGCTTCTCAATTACAATAAAAAAAATAAATTTTAGCAAGGAACGTACTTAAAGCACTAACAAAATCACATTGTAACCTAGTAGAGTATAAATGTGAACTACACCAATTACAAATTAATTACAGTTTTTCAAATTTGTATTGTTGATTTTCCCACAAGTATGTAAGTATTAATTATTTGATGTAACTCTATATTAATAGATGCATAATTGGTTTATAACTTATAACTAAAAATCAGAAACAAAGATGCTATTTTTTCTTTTTTAAAAATACATAAAATAAAGTCGACTGAACTGACAAATTGTGCGTCCAAGTGAAACTTGCATTAATTTGAGTCATTCAATGATTTCTTATCAAAGACGCTAAATTCGAACTTTGTCTAGATATCTCTCAGGTGTGAAATATTGAAATTAGTTTTCTTTTCTCGTTTTTTTTCATTTGAACATATCTATAAAAATACATATATATGTATTTAGACAATCTGTTTATAAAAATCACTGGTGGTTTTTCATTTCTTGTTAGTCAATTTGTTGGTAAAAAAAAATCTTTCATAGAAGCTTCTAAAAAATTATGATCATTATATATATGTAGGTGTATATAATATAAATGTAAATCGTTTTATTTTCTTAAAAATTACTAGTGAATAGTGACTGCATGTGTAGCAAATTTTGAATACAAATATATATATATAAAAAAAAAGATAAAATAAACAATGGTATTGCAAATGCGTTGCGTACAAAATAAAATGTCATGGACATGTTCAAACTGTGCAAAAGTTACATATACTTGTATGTGTTTGTGCATGTGTATAAACAAAAAAGAATATTACCTAAAATTAACACATAATTCAAGAGCAGTTGAAAACAAAATTAAAAATAAAAATGAAATTGGTTCAATTTTCCTGTAGTGTAAATAAGACGAATAGTAAAAGTAAAATGCATAGCAGCTTGCTTAACGAATTACATATTTTGTGCCTAGTAATTGCTAATATCCAAGATTATTATTCGCATATAGATATAAATATAAATTATATATGTGTATATATGTATGCGCTATTCTATTCCATATGCGATCGTTGCATATCGGCTAGTCAATCAACATTGTGCTTACGATTAAAGTTGTAGTTTCAAAACCGATCAGGCCCATGGTTTCAAGCCAAGGTCCTGGAGCGGCTTAAACAGATCCTATGTGTGTGTTGTTATTACCGGCACCTGACAATAGGGGCACTCAGTAACGGAGCCAGCGCACGTATTGCAAATGGACAGGTGATTGCAGGGCTCCAAAGTAACGGTGCGATTGTTCTCCTCACATTTCATGCACTTCTTGGCATTCTCTAAATATAATACTTTGTCTACCTCCTCCAAATCGGTGCGCAGTTTCGACTATAAAATATGTTTGTTAAACGAATTAGCAAACGAATGCATGTTGGTATGTAGTGCAGTTAACACATACCTGTAATTGTTTTAGTTTTTGTATGGACAAGTCACGCAACTCGCCGGGCAACTTGAGTTGGATCTGCACTAGATCGTGACGCTCCTTCCACTCCAAAACCTCATGTTTGGCTCTCTCCACTACGAAATCTCCCATTTGGCTCTCTCCACTACGAAATCTCCCATTTGGTCTTCTCGCGATGCAATTCAGATATCTTTAGTTTGCACAATAGCTCCTCAAGACGTATGGACATCTTCTGGATCTGGGCATTTTTGTTGTGCACTCGTTAGTCATGCGACTCAAATCCGAATTATTTTGCGATTGCAGCGATTGTAAGCTAAACGCATTCTTAGCCGTATTCAGTGTGTTCTCAAACATATTGCTGCCCACCGAGCTACTATTGATGTCATCACGTATGGTGTTCAATTCCGATATTCTAACTGATGGGCTTATGGATAGACCCTCGCCAAAACCAGGCGAAATGATGCGCGATGGAAAGAAGATGTTATTGCTATCATTCTGTGTGGCGGCCGACAGAGAATTGCTTAGCTTGTTGGAACCGCCATACACATTGAATAGACTGGCATGATTTGTCGGGCTATAGGTGAGCGAGCTGCTGGGAATGTTGACGGCAAAGCCACCTGAATTGAAGTCTACATCAAGAAGTTGATAATTGATATTAGCGACTCGTATTTATCGAATATATGGAGTATAAAAAACTCACCGTTAATGGAGTTACTTAGTGTCGTATTAGGAATGTTAATTGGCGCCGAGGAACGTGTTAATAAACTATTGTTAACCAGGCTTGCCGACAGAGAGTTTTCGCGTGGATCGTCCAATGTACAGGCTGCTAGGAATAGGTTAAGAAAATATGTGTTAATTATGTTTATTTTTTTATTTTGAGTTAGCTGGAATTGTTCATTTATTTATTTATCTGTTCTTTTTTTTGCGCTGCCAATTTGTCCACAACCATCGTGGATAACAAATGAATTTATAAATTAATATTAATTGTATTTACTCACAATGGCTGTCCAGTGGTAACGAGATATTTAAGATTTTACTGGAATTGGTTGTATTTTCCAAAGCATCGACCAACATTTTGTTGGTTGTATTATTACCATCAATATTTAATAACTACGAAAAAGAGATCAAACAAAGAAACAAAAAAAAACGAAAGATACAAAAAATGAGCGGCAAGAAATTACTCAATGACTAGCGATTTTATGCGGTTAGCTGGATTAGCTCGTGAACAGGTGGTTGGTGGTTGGTTGTTTGGTTTGTTTGTTGGGGGTGGTGGGTAAGAGATTGTTAGGAAAACACACACATACACACACTACATAATACATACATTATTGCTCAGCTGCAGGAGTCCTGTGGGCAGCTTGCCATTACCGATCTCATCCTGCACCTTCAAACCGGACATGCCATTGGAAATGAGTTCATTTAAAGTAATTTCATTTTCACGAAGCTTCTGCTCGTTGACCACATAATCTTTTTGGGTGGGGATGGGCCAATTGGACAAGCAGCACAAAGCACAGTTTTGATTTTCATATCATTTTTCAAAGGGTGTTTGTTTACACAATGTGTTGAAGAAGGAAGTGAGTAAAAGACAAACAAACAATTAAACAAACAATGAAATACGTACGTAAAATAAATTAACCTAATTAACTACTTAACTAAATTCAAAAACAAAAAAATAAATAATCGCCCGACTTGGTTGTGGAAAATAGCGCTTGAAACTCAGGCATAATATATTAGGATTAGGATCACTTACGTTCAACATGCGCAAAGGCGCAGAAGACGCTCCGTGGACAATAGCCAGCCTGTTGTACATCATTGCATTTGGTGGACTTGTATATTTCCGGATGGAACTGTTGCTCGGTGCGCGTATGACAATACTGGCAATTATCTCCGGCCTCACAGTTGCCCGGCTCGCCCCACTCCTCGCCGTGCTTCACATTGGGGCATGGTGTAGAACTGCAGCGAAAATTTGCAAAAATCAAACTGTAAATTAAGGCCTGGTAACGAACATCGGATTAGCAATAAATCGTACCGGTATTTGTACTTTCTGGGCGAGCGACGCTTATCCTTGCTATTGTGATACTGTGGACAGGCATAGCCCTGACGACAGAGACGAGGGGGACGCTTGCACGGCTCTGTTTTATAATTGGCCAGCACATAGTTGGTGTCCTGCCACTTGGGATCCTCGTTCATCAGATTGCGCTCCTTATCCAGGGCATTCTGTGCATTGCTGCCATCCAAACTAATATCCGAATTCTGCAACGTTTCCAGCTCCTTGATATCGTACACCGGCGGACGCTGATCCTGCATGCCGTGCGCAAAGGCGCAGTGCAAACCATTCTTCACACAATAGCCCCGGCTATCTGTGTCGTGCACGCACATGCATGTCTTGTAGTAGCGTAAATGATAACGGCGCTCAGTGTCGCCGGCAGTCCGATGTAGAAATGGGCATCTGTGCGAGGTGCGAGGAGAAGGAGAAAAACAAAACGAAAAAGTGGAGTGAGTGAATGTCAAGTGACGCAGCAAAGGACTTAATCGAGTGCTATAAATAGCAAAAGCAGAGCACTAAGAAAGCCAACACACACACACACACACTTATCTACACATATATTTATATACATATACATACACACATTTCAAGTCTGGGTCAGAATTGTTGTTGTTTTGGTATTGCAGAAAAATTGAATTGCGTATTATTTTCGTTTGTCGCTCGCTCTTTGTTCGTTCGCTCAAAGCTTTTCGGAGGAAAAGCTCTGCTCAATAACTGTACATTTGGATGCTATACTGCCTACTACTGTCCACTGCCAACTGTTACTATTACAATCAAAGACGCCGGGGGAAAACCAAAATAAACCGAAAAGAGAAAAACGCGCAAAAGCGAAACGCAATAAAAACAATGACGCACACACTTGTAGCAGCTCTAGCTGCTGCTGCGCATTTGTGAGTGTGTGCGAGAGCAACAACCCTCGTACAGAGCGCTCACACACAGGCAGATACACAAATACACACGCACAAGCTGATTAGAACTTCCGAGTTCTATCGCTAAAATCACTTTCACTTTTGGATTCTAGAGGGGGCGGCTGTGACCTCGTGTGTGTAGCTTACACACACATACAAACAGACACACACACACACACAATTGAATTTCACTTTTTAGCTAGAGTACGTTCGTATTCCGCATGCCCGCCCGCAAAAAGTTTTTGTTTGTAAACACGAAGCCAAGAGATACACACACATTGCAAAGAAAATCGAGCGCAAAGAGGAAATGAGAAAAAATACTACGTCGTTGATTCGGTTCGCGTTGGCGTCTTTGGGACTCTCGTGGCCCAGACGCCGTCAGTTAGTTAGTCTCCCCGCCCAAGCAATACTCACTCATCGCCCTCGGGACAGATTCCAGTTGTTTCATCATATTTGGTGCAATAATTATCAGCACTATAGTTAAAGGTGCCATCGCGTTTACGAACGGGACGTCGACGACGCTGGTTTTGAAAATGCCAATTGAAGCAGACGAATGGGCGATGCTGGTTGCATTTGTGTTGCAGGAACGACTGGCATTGCTCCACGCGGAATTCCTTCAGGTAGCTGCACATTGTGGATGGGGTAGTTCTTATTAGATCAAATAACACTGTAATTACAATATTAAATGTGTTTATTTACGTGTAATGACTGGTTTTTTCTTGATGTGAAGACAGAAGTAGCTTGCTCGCATCGTTCGCCATCTTGAACTGAAGCACTAAAATCAGTGAGACCGCATGCCCATAACGATGAAAATACTCTTGACTAGACATCGCTCCCATGCCCTTATCGATAGTTCCGCCAATCGATTACTCGGCACGTGCAGTCGAAATGTGTTGGGCGTAATTTTAATTTATATTTATTATTTATACATTCATACGCTACGAACTGTCTCCTGTTTAGTAATGGCTGCAGCAATGCCTGTAGGCCAAAAGCACAGCGACTCCCTTGCCTACCTGCAGGTGAGCCAACAATTATATATTCCTGTGTATATTTTCATACAATATTTGTTGTCTGACAGTCGCTGGGAGAAGAACTGCCAAAGGAGGTGGCCGACAAACTGGCCGCCCAAATCACTGAGGAAGTGGCTACGCCGGACACGGGCAGCATCAATCAGGCGTCACTGAATGTCAGCTTTCGCGTCTACTATCACATCGTGCACAAATACCAGCTCGAGGACGAGCACTTTGCCGATCTTCCTCAGAGACTGTGCTGTGAGCAGCCCCAGGCTTTTCTCATGCTGCAGGCTGTGCTGCTGACCAATCACTGGTCCCGCCTGGACGCCCAGGGGGTGGAGGCCAAGTGCATTGAGTCCATTCTTGCTGCACTGCAGCAGAACAACTCCAGTCTGGTGCATCAGCTAAAGGCCCTCAATCTGCTAGTGAGAAAGTTTCCCAAGCTGGAGCTGCTGCCACTGCAGCTGCAGCACTTCTACCACTGCCTGCAGCGCCAGAGCCAGGTGGGCTGTCGTGAGGAGACGCTGACGCTGTTCAATCACTGCTGCAAGCAGCAGGATCGCGCATTCCTCTACTTTCGCATCATTGTCGCCTTCTGGCCCTGGACGAATCGCAATAAGTACTATCTGCTCAGCGGCATCCTCAACTCGCATCCATTGCCAGAGCTGCTCGCCGCCAGCGATCAGTCGGAAGCGGAGTTCTTTGCCGGACTGCGCCTGAGTCTCAGCTACAAGGGACTCCGGGCGGCCAGCCAGTATCCTGTGAAGAGTCTGAGCACTCAGCGTTCGCCGGCGTTGCTGTCGCTTGCTGTGGAGCTGCTGGTTAATGGCAGCGTGGCGGAAATCCAAAACTTTTATTCGCAGTGGTTTTTGCGCATCCAGCAGCGGGATGCACTCTTCCAGCTGCTGCAAGCCAAGCCAGAGATCGTGGCCTTTCTGGCCAGCTCGGAGACTGCGCGCACGGCCAGCGAACAACAGCGTCTCATCCTCATATTCGGCATGTTCGCCAAGGAGATCTATGTGGCGTCCAAGCTGCACTTCTTCAAGATTAGCACCGAACTCTTGACCAATTGCAGCGCCTTCGAAACGGATGCACAGCTGCTGATCTTCAAGTTCCTCGTTGATAATCTCGGCAATTTTGCTGTCGAGGATTGCCTGGAGTTCTTCTACAATTTTATGCAACGGCATCGCGGCGTGGAGAGCGCCGAATTCCGCAACACAATGCTGGGCAAGATGCCCAACATTATCAATCACACCGCCAAACATTTCAATCGGGCCCTCAAAGTTGATGATGGGGTTGCCAGCGATGCCCTGGCCCACGATATTCGGCGCTTCTTTGCGCAGCTGCAGCAAATGGTGGAGCAGGACATGCTCTGCGATGTCTACCAGCCGAGAATCTTTGCACTCAAAATGCTGCAGATGCTGCACAAATCGATGTACGGCGTCGAAGTCATTAAGAATGCCAAAAATTGCAGCATACAGCAGAATCAACAATTGGGCAACTTTCTCAAGTTGCACGGTGTCTTTAAGCCGTGCGCTGTGGCCGCATTGCTTTTCAAATCCCTCAACGATCCACAGGGTTTCGATGATGCACTGGAGCTGACGGTTGAACTACTGCTCCAACTGGGCCATGTCGATGGCAAGCAGTGCAAGGCGCGTTGCCTCACTCTTTCCGCCAGCGCCGACGTGGATGAGTGTGCACTCGTCACCCATTATGCTCGGCTGGCGGTGCACAGCTTCCCGGACCAGACTGCTGGCCAGACACTCTACGATCAGTGCCTGCAGCAATTGACTGAGAAGCTGTCTGGCTTCGAGCGTGATCCGCTGCAGACGACAAAATGCAGGGGTGGTCATCTCTTCGGCCACATCTGTGTGCTGAACGAGCTTGTCGGCGGACTCAGCGATCTCTGCCTGAATACATCTGTTGCTGCACTTTTGCCGCCACTCGAACGCATACTCAACATCATCTTGAAGTTTCTGAATCTAGCGAATTCCCAGCGAGAACAGGATGCGGTTGCTGCCAGTTTTCAGGACATGGATGAGAGCCTACAGCTGCTGGTCAGTGGGAGTGAATACGATGAACGCGAGCATGCCGAAGCCTGTCGCAAGTATTTGCTCATGAGTTTCTGGCTGACTCTGAAGGTGCGCTAAACTGATATAAACCAGTTAATATCTATCGAGATTTATATCTATAAATTTGTAGGCCTGTTGCGATTTGTCCACCAGTGTGGGTTGCGCGCTGCTGCGTGAGATTGACGGCCAGCCGGACTATGATGCACTGCAGCGCTGCCTGGAGGTGAATGTGGCTGTGTTGACTCGCTGCCGGCACAAGGGCGCCATTGAGGCGGCTGGCCTCAGCATTGGCAGGCTGACGCGTGCCATGACCAGTCGGTTTGCTAGCGAGGATCGGGGATTTCAGCTGCTGCACGCTTGCCTGGAGCGGCAGCTGCTCTTCGAGTGCCGGCAGGTGAGCACCACACGACGTGGCGCCGGTTTCTCCATCATGTTTCTGCATGTGCTCAAGAACGATGATCCGCGCCAGCGTCTACTGCTCCATCGCATTGTGCAACGCATACTGCAGCGTCTAAATGATGGCTCCTCTGCTGAAAACGCTGCCAGCAGCAACAGCAGTAGCAACAACCTGGACCGCTGGGAGGCGCTGGCGCTGCATTATCTGTGCGTGCTGGTGCGGGACACGGAACTGCGTCCGGCCATGTGCAAGTACTACAATGAGATCATGCTGGTGGCAATGGCGCACATTGACACCGAGTGGACCATCTCGAATGGGGCACTGCAGCTGTTTGGGGCTACGCTGGGCAAGCTGGTGGGTCAGCGACAGGCGACCGAGTTCGAAACGAAACTGGCCTGGGAACCCAGCGAGATGAGCTACGAGGAGTTGGCCTGCCAGCTGCCCAAGGCCTCCGAGCATATGCTCTTGCAATGTGGCCATGACGATAATGGTGACAGCGACACATCCTCCATTATACTGTTCCTTGGCTTTCTGTCCAAGGTGGAGCATTTGTGCACCACGCGCCAGTTGCAGCAATCGACGCCGCTGCTGCAACGCTTCCGTCGCCTCAGCTTCCGACTGCTGCGGCACCAGTGCGAGCAAGTGCGTCGCCTGGCCGCCACCTGCTTTGTGCGTGCCCACGAATTGCGCTGTGATCTGCCCGTGGTGCTGCTGGCCAGCGCCAATCGGGCATCGCAACTCCAAACGGACAACTTCTACGAGGGTCTCATCTACACCCTGCACGCGGGTCTGCTCAAGCTGCAGCACGAGGCGCGTCACGTGTGGACTGCCGACCAGTTGCAGCATTTCCAGCAGCTGTTGCTAACAACGCTGCAGATCACCGAGCAAGTGGATCACTACAAGACGCCCACCTTGAATGTGCTGCTCAAAATGCTGCAACTCGTGGCTGCCACCGAGCAGGTGGCCATTGTGCAACAGCTGCTGGAGAAGCGTAGCAAGCTAAGCGATAGCTAAATACACATTCGACATCGGTAGATAAGATATAGATTTATATATATATAAGCCCTTGCAGGGCAGACGTAATCTTGGCGAGATGCGTCGTCCCAGTTTCAGTCTATTGCCAAGCCAACTAGTCTCTCTAAACTCTAGCATATAACAATCCTATAGATATATATATATAGCTTCCATCTCTGTTTCATCTGCTATAACGTATATCTGGTGTATATATGGGCGATCCGTCAGTTGCTTATGTTTTTAATTAATGCTGCCATTGGAACAATCAGAATTCGATTTTCTTATTTCTCGATCAAATTAAACAATTTTGAACTTTATTGTGCGACAAAACATTTGAACAAACTAGAAACATCCAACTACTATGTATGTATGTATATATATATATATTATGTATAGATGCACGCAATTCCCTATCGGAGCCACAACTTTTGTAGCTAAGATCGTAAAATATTATTATTGCAATTATGTTTATCGTGCTACTGGTGATAACTCAGCAAGGGGTGAAGATAACTGTCTCTATCTTTATCTCTGGTTTAACTGTGGCATTTATCTAATCGGAGGACGGTGTTGGAGGGGGGGAGTGGCGCAAAGCCTAAGCCAAAAAGTATAATAATAATAATTAGTGTAACAACGCTCGGCTTTTTACAACTTAAATGACGCATTTACTATTTGTACGCAAGCAAGTCAAAGAAGAACGAAAAGCATTTACCAAAAACAAGAAATACATAATGAAAAAAAACTTAACAATATTTATGAATTGATCAACTGAATCCCTCGCCCGTCTCCTGCTCCATGGCCTGTTGTTGCTGCTGTTGTTGTTGTTGTTGCTGCTGCTGCTGCATCTCCTGTGCATCCTGTGACATCTGTTGCAGTGTGCGACTGAGAATGTTGCGCAAAATGTGCGGCTTGCAGTGCTCCTCCAGCCAGGGTATAACGCCGCCGGTCAGCTGCTTAAAATTGTCCATTGGTATGTGCTGGAATGTCTCAAACATTTCGTCTAATATTGCCTGAAACTGAAACACGAAACGAGACTCGAATTAGCATAAAACAACAACAAAACAAAGCAAAAATGAAATGCGAATTGTTGGCTTTTTTTTTGCTGACCACTTGAAATTTGGCCTCGTCGGTGAGGCGCGCCTCCTCAGGGCCCGGATTGGCCTGCTGATGTTGCAGCATTGTCTCGTAGCCAGCCTGGATGATCCGCAGCGCCGTCACCTCCTTCAGCAGCGCCGCACTCTCGTCCTCCTGCTTCAGCTTCTGCTGATTGAGATAGCCAATGTACTCGATAGACTTCTGCAGGATCAGCGCCTTGCTCAGCTTGTAGCCGGACGAGTCGTTTGGCTGGCAACGCGGCACCAGCTCCTGCAGGCTGTCGTACCCCTTCTTGATCGCATCCCGTCGCTTCTGCTCCGCCTGTGTGTGGGCCGAGCGACGTCGCTCCTTGTAGCTGAGCGACGAGTTCGAATTTGTTGCCGCCGAGTTTCGAGCATCGCCGCTATCCTCATCATCATCTGTAAGTGAGAGAGAAAGAGAGAAATCGGCGGACAAAAATATATATATATATACATATATCTATCTATAACCACACATTATCAGCTGTTCTCAGGCAGCCAATAAACAAAACACCAAAACAAAACCCACCCGAATTGTGTGCTGATGAGTTTGGTGTGTGGGTGCTGCCTGCGCTGCTGCAGCGCGAGTAGTGTTTGCCACCCAGTTCCTGATCTTGCTCCATGCCGAAGGCCTCCTCTTTGCTGATCAAATTATCGCCCATTGTCAACTGCGTCGCTGCGATGATGGCCACAATAAAAGCAAGAAAAACAACAAAAGAGCATTACACTTGGCTCGCTCTACAGCCAGTGGGAACTAGTTCGCGTTGTGGTGGTCAGGCCATAGTTTATATTTTTGGTATTTTTTGCAGCACCAGCGTTGCCAGCCAGCCAGACTGAATGGTGACGAAATTAGGCGAGGTATGCAGCTAGCAAAAAATTAATTAACATAGAAAAAATTTGGTTTCGTTCTATGACAGAAATGACTAAATAATTCTTGAGAATTTGGATGAATTAGATTCAATTTGAATAATTCTTACTTGTATTAATGACATTATACGATGTGATTTTTATTAACATGCTAGCTCAATCAGTTGATGAAGAATTTCCAGAATCATCGTTACTTTTTTTTTATCATTGCTTGTTTTTATCACAGGTGTCGATCAATCACCGTTTAACAGTGCTGATAAGCGTACGTTGCTCAAACTGACTGGGTGGGTTTAATTTTGATTGCTGTGCAGCCCTGTTTTCTGCACCGGCGCGATGACTTTTACGTTTTGGTACTGAACTTTGCCGTCGTGTCGCTTCACGGTTTTCGTTATTCGGGCTTGCGTGGAAATTAGTATATAAATATTTTAAAAAAAGGGCTCAAGCAACAAATTGAACAATGGGCCTGCTCAAAGCGTTGCGTGTGCGAATCATGAATTTCATGATATTCTATCTAATTGTTATTCTGTTGCCCGGTTTGCCACCGCGCACCACTTTCCCCTACAAGGAATTCACGTAAGTTGTCATTTTTCTTGGAAGATATGAAAAACGTATTCAAAAATGTACGTTGCACATTTGTGCATTTAGTGTTACTCCGCCCAAGGAGCTGAAGGGTGCACTCGAGTCGAATTTCCATTTGGAAGGTGCCGAGCGTTTGCTGGGAAACCGCATACTTGGCCCCGAATGTCTGCTGGTGCGCAATAACGAGATCTATACGGGCATCCATGGCGGTGAGATCATCAAGATTAACTCAAACCACATAACGCATGTGGCCAAGTTCGGCCAGCCCTGCAGTAAGTATTATTAACCATTGAAGAGTGAATTGGTCTGTTTCATCTCAGCTTCTTCTTGCACAGCGGAAAAATTTGAAGAGGCGCAATGTGGTCGTCCTTTGGGCATGGCTTTCGATACGCTGGGCAACAATTTGATTGTGGCCGATGCCTACTACGGCCTCTGGCAGGTTGACCTCACATCGCACAAGAACAAACTGTTGATCTCCCCCGCTCAGGAGTTGCCGGGCAAGACTATTGCACGACCCGCAAAAACCTTTAATTCCGTTGCCGTTAGCAAACAGGGCGACATTTATTGGACAGATTCGTCGTCAGACTTTGGCATTCAAGACTTGATCTTTGCCTCGTTTGCTAACCCATCCGGACGGTGAGTTCATTTGACTTGCTGCTGCTCAGAAACCGGTTTCTAATGATTTCTCTTTTTATTTTTTTTTTGTTGTCTTTTGTTTTCTTTTGTTTTCTTTTGTTTTGCTGTAGTTTGTTCAAATACGATCGCGTTAAGAATGTGAGCGAAGTGTTGCTGGACGAGTTGTTCTTTGCCAATGGACTGGTGCTGAATCCAACGGAGGAATTCATTGTGGTGGCAGAGACGGGCTCGATGCGTCTGACCAAATATCACTTGAAGGGACCCAAGGCTGGCCAGAGCGAAGTCTTTGTCGATGGCCTGCCCGGTCTGCCCGACAATTTGACGCCCGATGCCGATGGCATTTGGGTGCCAATGGTGTCCAGCGCCGATAGCGAGCATCCGAGCACATTTTCGCTCTTCTCGCGCTTCCCCAGCATTCGGCTGTTCCTCGCCCGCATGCTGGCGCTCTTCGAGCTGCCGATTATCTTCATTAACAGCTTGTATCCCAATAGGTTTGCGCAGCGATTCGTTCATTTTGTCGGACATGGCGAGATGGCCTTGCTGCTGGCACCCAAACGGGCCACTGTAGTGCGTGTGGACTGGAATGGCAATATTGTGGGCTCACTGCACGGCTTTGACAAGTCCGTGTCGGGCATCTCGCATGTGCTCGAATTCCAGGATCATTTGTATTTGGGCTCGCCCTTCAATCCCTATTTGGCACGCGTCAAGCTGCCCAAGGCGGCGAAACAGCCCACCGTCAAGGTGCGCAATGTGCGCGTCGAGGGCGACGGCCTGGAGGCCTCTGTGGGTGTACCACCAACTACGGGCAAGCCAAAGGCAGCACCAACTACGACGACAACAACAACAACTACCACTACAACAACGCCAAAGCCACAGACAACCAAGAAACCAGCGACAACAACAACAACGACTACAGCCAAGCCAACAACAAGAACAACGACGACGTCGACGACGACAACAACAACAACAACAACGCCCAAGCCGGCAACAGAAAAGAAAACAACAGCAAAGCCAGCAACAACAACAACAACGGCTAAGCCGGCAACAACAACCACAAAGCGCACAGTGCCAACAAAGCCGGCGCCAGTTGAGGAAGAGATTCGCGTGGACACGAAGCCGCCACAGCAGGAGAAGCTCAAGGTGATCAACAAGCAGGGCGATCACGTTGAGCTCTAAAAACACGGTTGTCATCAATTTCGGATATTTTGATTAGGCAATGTTTCTAGCGTGTCCACTTTAAAGATTTATACATAATTGTATAGTTTGTTTTGAGACTAGTTAGCTAAATTGTAGTTAGCAGCAAGTCCTCATTTCAAAAGCAAAACAGAAAAACAAATGGTTATTGGTATTGGGCACCTATTTATATGAATGCATATATAATTGAGTTTTGCTTACTGTCAACAATATCCGATAAAACACACACATTACGAAACATTCCCGATTCCATTCCATTGCATTATTTAACAAATGACAATGCTCAAAATTGTTGTACAATTAATGGACACTTGAATGCCGTAATTTCAAACACTCACTTATACTATTGTACTGATTTTTTCCAATATGTGTATTTCGTGAACTATAAGTAAAGTGTTTTCTAAAAACCATACGACTTAAATCTACTTAAATTCTGATTAACTCAAATGATTGTATAAATTACTTAGTGTAAGCTGTATGTCTGCTGTCTGCTGACTGCTGTCTGCTGACTGCTGTCTGCTGATAATGATGATGCGTAGTCTGACTGTCTGATTGTCTGTAGAGATTCTCTCATTTTGGACGGCTTGGCGGCTCCTTGGGCTCCGTCCAGCTCCACTCGGCGTAGTGGACACAGCGTCCAAGCTCCTCGGAATACAGCTGCGATTGCCGGCAGCGATTCAGGCGAGCCTTTGTTCCCTGCTTATCGCACACCCAGTAGGCGGTTGGATCCCAGAAATTGCGAAACATGCGATTCACTTCATCCAGACCCTGGCAGCCGGGTTCGCCATCGTGTTCATAATATTTGGACTTTTGTATCGGCAAGTGTGAAGTAGCCATTTTTTTGGTAGGTTTTGCTGTAAAATCGGAAGCGAAAATCAACATTATCTTTAGCTAAATAATTTAAAACAATATTCTCGAATATTAGCTATATGCATATGCAATTTTTGGCACCTTTTTCCCAGCTGTGTATCGAGCTATATATATTAACATATATTGACAATTAACTTGTAAGCCAAAATGCACATAGTCTTATTGTCGTATAGTGTATATATTCTTACCCCGATGTGTTTGCGTTAATTTGATGTGCTGTTTTTGAGTTCCCCTTGGCAACCACAAGGAATTTTGTGTGCTGTTCGTTTCACAAATATTGCGCTTCTGACTTGTCATACGGAATCATTTCCCGTTTAAATACTCTGCGTACGAGCAACAAGTGGCGAACGGCGAGGGGGGAATGCGCTGCGGGTTGGCATTAGTAATGTCTGCTGGCTGGCGGCTGACGGCTGACGGCTGGCAGGCGATCGGCAAAATACGAAAAACGGTCCGACAAACTTTTATCTATGAAAGCTAACAAAATTCTCATTACGATGACTTGCCCTGATCTTGAACGAGCGACCATTGGTCGATTGCATGGATTGCTCATAAGAATTGAGTGTGTCACGTGTTCTCTCCGTGCTCGGGGAATACGCCAAAGCGAGAGTTTACATGCTGATATAATGGCTACATCCGAGCAGAAGAGAACTTGCCAGCGTATACCCTATAAACAAATAAAAAAATTGCAAATAAAGTGCTTGAATGCAAGTGTCTCAACAGTGATTTGTGAGCAGAAAAAGTGAGTATGTGGATCGATCTCTTTAAGAGAGCACGACCCGCTAGATACACTGTACAAAACCATATACAAATACGAGCAGATAACATGCCTGAATGCCAGCTCATTTAATAAGATGACAGCGTAGGGGAAAGAATGCATTTAAAAAATAAAATTGCGTATCTTGATAAAATAACATTAATATTAAGTCATCATTTCTGTAGCTTATAAGAAGTAAAAATACAACATCATCAATTCGAAGTGGCTCATTTTATTACCAACCCTATTTAGAATATATTCTTGGCTTTAGCTACTTTTCACTATACTTTATATATATATATCATGTATTGATTACAGTTATATGCCTAGCTTAGTCTATGACATCCACCTGCCTCTTCATTTGTATAGTTTCATATATGCAACAGATTCATTTTCACTTTAAAAAATCTTCGCTTGGCAACAGCGGCATCATTGAGAAGGCTTCGCGTTTTGCTAAGGGTCATCCCCTTGGTCACTGGCTGCGATGTGTGATTTTTACAATCGTTCTCAAGTTCTTCTTAGAGTTACATAATTGAATCACAATATTGCGTCACGATTAATCATCGAACTCTGATTGATATCACGCCAGAAGCAGACGTCTCAGCCGAGCCCCCATTTTTGATTGCCAGTAATTTTAACGCCGACGTTCGCCAACTTTTAGTGGATTTTAAAAAATATAAACACTGGCTTATCAGCAGAAATTTTTAGTAATTTCATTGAATGGCAGATAGCAAACAAAGCTACACGTGATCGTTCAATGGAAGAAATAAATAATAAGTCGACCGATTGCGTCAGTAAATGGCATTTATGTATGGGGCACACGTGAACTGTTGCTGGTGGAGTCTCGAACTTACGAGGCGTAGAATAATTGTCTAATAAATATTTACTCTATAAATATATATGTGAAAAGTAATTATCAGATTGTGAAATGAACTGATTAGCGTGTTTGAGCGATGCGAATCTGCGCTGCTTCTAGTTTATCTCTAAAGTGAAATTTATTTTTATTAGCTTTTACGATCCAAACGTGAAGTTAAATTTGATTCTGGTTTCATTTAACTGCAGAACTTTATAAGGAAAACAGTTAAATATTTTACTCCTACTAAGATATAAGTTCAATGTACTGAACTGATTTTCTTACCATTAAATAAGAATCTCGCCATTTATTGCAGCACTAAGAGCACAGAGTAAGAGGAAGTGTTCAATCTTCCAATGGTAAGATAACCAAGGTGGATTCTTATCGAGAAGATAGGTAAACAGACACGTACGCGGCACCAGTCGTGACCGTAATAAAACCTCCCGCGATAAGAGTTCTCCGAACTGATAGGATAATGAGTCTAGACGCATTTGCAGCAGGATAAGAATATTGTATATAGCTGTAAGATAATTTAGAAGTTTTCAATAAACCTGCCGAAGCAATTTGGCAGCAGCAGTCTATGTTCGATATATTCGAAATTTGCTCTTGGGATCACCTTTCAGTTGTGTTTGTGCCTTGTAAATTAAATAGTAAGCAACCCACAAGATAGTAGTATATTTAGTGATAATAACAACTTTAATTATTTAATCCATTATTTCATATTTCGTGTACTCAAAATCGAATTTCTTAGTAACTCTTAACGAACTATTTAGAGTATCCAATCTTCGATATATAGCTAAATTATACTTTGAGTGTGCTTAAGTAATTTTCGCATTAGTGTGCAGTCTGTGGGTAATTGTGCTAAAAATATAAGTTTATCGACGTGAATCGAGTTCACATATGAAAGACGCTTGTGGCACAAAAGCCAATGTTGTCGATGAGACGAGGCGAACAATGAATGAACCGCTTCGGGGTTGATGGGTATCAATTCTATTTCATGGCTGCAACAAGAGCGCAACTCCCGCTAATATCCACTTGGCTGGGCGGTCGCGTGTCTTTAGGTTCAGCGTCCACACGTAGGTGTTGCCACGCGACCTGCAAAAGAGCTTATGAAGTATACACTCAAAAAAACTGGGAGAAATATATTTAATACATAAAAATACACGAATCGATATTACAATATAGATACAATCTCCTAAAATTCTTCGTTATTTCAACTTCGCAATAGAGTTTGGGAAACTGAACTATAATTGAGGTGATAGGAAATTTATTTTGAAAATTTCGAAAAATGTACAATTTACATTTATAGCTGCAAACTGCGATTTTCTAAATTCCAGGCAATCTTTTCTCTGAGTGTAAGTGAGCCATAAAATATGAAGCACTGACAGACCTTCCTCTAAAAGTAGACTGTTTAGGTAACCAACCAACCGCGCACCCACCTGGTCTTGTACAGTGGACACTCGTAGACGCGCTGCAGCTCCTGTTTCTCCTGCACAATGGACTTGATGTAGATGACGGGCATGGCGCAGAGCAGCTCCTTGGGATGCAGCGAGACAATTGAGTTGAGTTGACAGTCCCAGCTGGCGCCATCCAGATACAGTTCATGCACAAAGGCGCCCTCTAGCGGTGGCATGCTGTAAAGTGAACAGGCGTGAGTAATGAGCAATAGTCTAGGTTCAATGAACTTCATACGTGACGTCATCCTTTTGCTTTTTGGTCACGTCACAGCTGATGAGCATGCGATCCAAGGGCAGATCATGCTTCCGGGCACTCTCCTGCATGATGGCCGTGAGAAAGCTTTGGGGATTGAATAGCCCACCCAGCCAGATGGCACAGGGCAACTTGAAGTCATTCAGCCAGCCGGCCAGCTCCTTGATGCGATGCAGCAGATCAGCGAACCAACCCTGCAGGCCCAGCATGCTGGGGTATGCCAGTTGTGCCCAGGCCGTCGGCACATGATCATAGAAGATGGCATAATCTAGTCGCTCCATTTCCTGTGTGATCGTTAGCTCTCCCCTCAGGCCAAGCATTAGTTCGCGCAGCGATCGCTTTATCTCCCGGATGAGCGCATTCATCCGTTCGCATTCCTGCAGGGCGACGACCACAAATGGCGTCTTGCGCTCCACGCGATTGAGCAGCGCCTGTAGATTGAACTCGTCCTGCAGCTTGTCGAGAAAGTCGTCAATCATGATCTTCACCAGCTCTTCGCGTGGTGCCCCACAATGGGTGCTCAGCTCGGACTCTCGCGGCTGCAGCTCAAAGATGGTGCGTAGCAGCTGCTCCGAGGCGCTTGTGAGGAAGCCAATTTCCGCATTAGGATGCAGTCCATAGAGCGGTGGGGATTCCTCGGGCAGCATCTCACTGATATAGCAATGATAGCCATCGAATTCTAGATTGGGCGGTGCTGGGAATCCCGGACATAGCTCAAAGTCACCATCGATGAGATCCTGTTGCAGCAGCTCCTCCAGAAACGTCTGGCAGAGACGTCTGTCCCAATCATCGGTAATATGTCCGCCGTACATAATTTCCCCAAAGAGATAGCGCAAATCCTCCCACGGTATGCGATTACTGCTCCAGATAATTGTGCAGCACACTCGCCGAAATCGATAGATCACCCACATTAAATGGATACACCTTGTTCCAGCCCTGCGGTCCAAACTTGCGACGCTCCCCGGCCACCGCATGAAAGTAGCAGAGGGCAAAGAGTATGGATTTAAACTCCGCCTCCTGGGTGCATGTTTCCAGCGTATCCTGCGAAAAGTTATCCCACGCCTTGTGCAGATTGGCAGCCATCCCAGCTGGTGGCTCATTCACCACTTTGAGCGAGGACTCCAAAATGCCCTGGGGTATAACATGGTATTGTGGATCCGGTGCTGGCTCGGCGCTGATAAACAAACGGAAATTGGATTCGCCATTGGTTTCGGACTGCAACACTATCCGCTCGATGAGCTTCTCCAGCGTGGGCAACCAATTGACCACCAAATGAATATTTTGTAGTATAACCCATTGTTGACCCGATGCGAGCGCCACTTCGATGGCCTTCTCTGCCAGCAGCTCCTGTCCCTGGCCCAGTGAGATATTGACCAGCGTTCCAGCATCCGCATGGAAACCCTGCTGCTGTCCATGGCGCTCCACATCGCGTATGGGATCCACACCCGGGGAGAGTATAAAAAAGGCAGGCGTTGCTGCATTCAGATCTTTGAAGATGGCCACAAACGGAGGCGTTTGCACCTCGGCATATGCTCGGCCCATCGTTTGCTCCACAAACTGTGCCATGGCATAGGTCATCCGATCCGGTCGCAGGGCTCTCACTATGCATAGTTTTTGCAGTGGTGTGCGATGCTTCCATTCGCCCGGAAACTGTTCCCGTTCCGGGGTATCACTGGCCATGAACTTACGCCAGCGTTTCGTATAGTTCTCCATGTCCTTGTCAATGCCATAAAAGTGCTCGATGAGGGTCAATGATTTGATGCCACCCCAGGCACTTCGACTGACAAAATCCAAAGGGGACAGCGTATTCGGATCATGGGGATAACGCAGTAGAAAATCGGTCTCATCCTTGGCCACCTGCTCGGCGGCAATCATAATCCGCAGCGTCAAGTGGGAAGTAAACGTCAACTTGTCCGCCTCGAAGAGACCACGCAGTGTATAACGATAGGTTTGCAGGGTAATCGAGTCCACCAGGTGGAGCACTCGCTTCTCATAACTCTTTGAGTCCGGCGCAATGGCAATGGCCTGCCGGAAGACATGCATGAAGGACTTCAAGGAGAACTTGTAGATGGGATTGATGCGATTCAGATCGGTGAGTACAAAATACAAAATCGCAGCTCGTTTTGCGGCGGCTCGATAGATATTCCTGGTCTCATCAATTTGCAAAGTGGTTACATGAGCCTCCCTCACCTTGGCTTCAATTTCATCCACCGTACGCTTAGTGTTCTCCAGATTGAGGACCAACGCATGGTCATCGAGCACGTTCTCGCCGGCGGAGGCCAAACGGGCCAGCAGCTCATCCTCAAGTGCTTTCAGTGAGATTTTGAACATGTTCTGCTGGACGGTAACCTCAGTTTTCATATTCTCCAAGTCCGGTCGCTCAATTTTGACCACTTCCGCCAGTAGCTGCTCCTCGAGGCCATCCGGTGTGACCGTAAAGTTAATAAGCGTCGTTTGCGCCTGCATTTCCGGCTTGTAATGCGGATTGGCCAGTTTCGTGTGCAGTATGAGTCGGAAATTCGGATTAAACTCCATTTCCTTTTCGCCAATGCGCAGATAGCGTCCTTTTTTGATCAGCGCCCGGCTGAGCAGCGGCTCCAGCACCGTATCCATCGTCTCTTCAATTTGCTCAATCAGCACCGTATCGCCATGTGAAATGGACTTCTCGAGTGCCTCAAGGAATCCACGTTGCGTCAGACGCAGCACCACAAGAGCAGCTCCGAAGCGACTCTTGATCCATTTAATTCCCTGGCTAAAAGTAAATCGCTAGGCTAATGAGTTAATTAATTATACCCTGTACTCATATGAGAAATGATAGCTTAACGGGTAGATGGAGATATGCTTGCCCTACTCAAAACCTTTTTTCCATAGTTTTCTGATCCCTCCTTTTTTTTATATATTTATATTAATGTTTTCTCTGTAGTCTTCTAATTAGATCTCGGGGATTAAAATAAAACAAAAAAATATTATGATTTTGTAATTAAAGGAAAGTTTATCTTAATCTGCTCTCTTTGTCCTCCTTTTTGCGATTACCTTTTAATTGTATCTGTTTCTAATATTTCTTCTCAAAAGTTACAAATAAATATTTCATTCTAGTCAACTATTTTGTATCTATTTTAAATTTTTACTTGTTTAGCGGTAATTAATATTCAAAACGATTTAAGAATCACCCAAGTAACATTGGACTTTCCCTAGGATACAGGGTATCTGCAGGTCTACCAATTTTGCATTGAACTGCCCTACTTTGCATTAACCCCAAAGAATACTTACAGCTGTGGATCAATCATCAGAGGCCAGCGCGTCGAGTGCTGCAATATTGTTGCATTCTCCGTGGACATGCCATCCATGGGCAATCCCTCATTATTCCAGGTGGCAATTTGTGCGTCATCCGAAAGCAAATTGAGAGGGTCGACACCCTCAGTGTGCGGTATCGGAGGCTGTCGGGACACAGTCAACGTGAGTCCATTTAAGTCAGGCACTTAGCCCCCTAGCCAAGTATATATGCAGTACTTACGTCCACTTTGCAGAAACTTGGCAGCCACATCTTGTGCTGCAGTTCTTCGCGGTAGCGGCGCGTGAAGCAGCCCACGTACGACAGGAACGAGGAAATTAACAGTATATCTCCAGGTAGGGTGCCAATCTTCGCCTGTAAGCTTTAGTGGCATAAAATGGAACGTGAGCGACGAAGAACTGAAGCTGACCTGCTAAACGGCAGGCATTAATCTGTTGCCCGGCAACTTTAAGTTGTGCTTCAAAGATAAATTACAAGTGCAGCAGGAAATTTGGCTCCATTGCATTTGAATAGACGGGAAATTGAAAAAAATAACAACAAAAATAAATAAATAAAATAAAAAAATGGCGTTGACGGGAATATTGTGCGTGGGTCGTTCAACGAGTTGATCCATCAATAAAGCGTCGTTTCTTTTGACCAATAAAAAAGAGAATTAATAAAAAAAGAAGATTTTTGTTTAGGTAAAAGAAATATTCCACAAATATATTTTCAATAATAAATTCAATCGTATGATGACTGCAAACGAATATTTTCTGTCCGGTTAAATACGTTATATATGTATGTATTTGGCTTTTATGAATGTTTCGTGCGCTGGTGAAATACAAATAATCATTGCAGAGGTTTAAAAGAAGCGTTATGTTGGTAAATTTAAATATATAAATAAAAATGCTGTCAGTCGATGTGATTCTATCAAGCAATTTGATAACTGATTTATTTATGCTCTGAGGCCAAGAATACGTGTTATGAAGTCGTGCAAAAGTATTATTGACCATAATGTCTATATATTCTTTATCTTTATCAGGATCAACGAGTGAGTCGACTTAGCTGCTATTCGTCTATCCCTCTGTATTTTCAAGACGATGTCAGAGACTATAACACCTAGAGACTTGAAGAAAGGCTTATTAGTTCTCGATAAGCCAATGATGATGCATATATATCTCCTATATATCTATAAATCACGCAATTGTACAGATTTAGTCTTCTAATTATTATTATTAATACATTATTGATTAACTGCAAAAATATCATTAAGATCTGATAAGAAACATAGATTTTTCTAACCAAAACTAATTTTCATCATGAACTAACTACTATTGGCACTCCTCCTATATTTTTCAAAGCTAGATTCAGCGTATTTCTTAGTCAAGCTAACTTGCTCTAACCTATTGCAAATTAATATTTAAAGTTAGTCTGGATTCTTCAGTTGAAAGACAAATGCTTATATTTCATTACTGTAATAACAAAAGATAAATTAATGTTTTAATTTCTTATTGACAAATAATTAATGTGTTCCTGCCTGACACAGCAGATTTTAATTAGTTAAACAATGTTAAACAAGTAACAATAAATTTGATTTAGGTCGAAGACTTTTAGATCAGCCCGCGAAAACTGTCGCAACCAATTGGCTACGAACTGCATTGACTTGGGTGCAATCGCGAGGAGCATCAGCTTCTGGAGTATCATCATAATGAGCTTCTTCGTTGTTCGTCGTTCGTTGTCTTTGGAGTCGTCTACAAGTGGCTACTTATATATAAATTCTTGTTAGATAAATTGCTGCATGCCAGTTATTATTTGAATATTTAAGCTGGAACGTAATATAGTTGTATGCAGGAGTGTTCGTAATTGAGATGCTCATCGTTTGAGTTTGAGTTTGTGAGATGAGTAAAAGCGTAACATTTAGCAAAAGGTCGTGACTCTGAAGCTTAAATGATTTATGTTTTATTTCTAAACAAATTTAAATGTTGATACGTTGGTATCTAATGGTCCTTGGTAATTGAATAACACAAAACTATGTATTTGCATGCCATAAATGTCTAACATGACTACATGAAATAAATAAATATAGGGACATATGTACAAATGTACATGCGTAAGAGTGTCTGTCTGCATTTTGACTTGCTTGTGCATGCAAATTATGAAATTGAAATAATCGTTTTTTTAAAGAATTATTTTGCACAAATTTGATAAAATACCTGTCAAGTGGCATAAGAGCATTCTCATTCAAAAACAGAAAATATATTTCAAAAGCAGCTTCACAATGCCAACAACAACTAACAACAATGCAGGCTTACATTTTTTGCGTAAATATATATATATATATGAACATATATATGTGTGTGTGTGTGTGTATTTACAATGGAGAATATTTTATGTCACAGTCAAACAGAAATTTATATGCAAGTCATAACGATCCACACACACACACACACACACACAGGCAAACTGCAACCGCACAGCATTGTGTAGTTTTTATTGCGGCTGCTGTCCTTGTTGTTGTTGCTTTTCTGTTATTTTTGTTGTTGTTGTTGTCGAGTGCAAATTAGATTTTCATAAATATTTCAAAATGCTCCGAGGAGCATGCTTTTCAATTTTAACATTCGTGCATATAATCCTGCGTCAGTATTTGTCTGAGTCTCTTGCTCCTTTGCCAGTGCGTTGTACACATACACAGACAGTACCACACACACATATATATATATATATATATATATATATTTATGTACCAACTCATATGCAGCAAACATTGCCTGTCTGTTAGTTTGCGAGCAGAGCAAACATTTCAACATTCTTCATAATTCAGTTCGTTTCCAAAAATGCATTTGGACATGGGCAAAGACGTACTCAGCTTTTGGAGAAGGCGGGTCGATTTGTCTAAAGGAGTGCGAAGGGACGAATTATAATTTTCTTACAAATTGGAATTGTTTATTATTTTGTCGACTTTTTTTATTATTGAAATATTTTAAGCGGATAAGTTTTTCTTATAATTTTAATTTATTATTTATTATATACTGGGATATTTATCGAAAAATAAAAACATCTAAAGCCTGATTTTAATCTAAGTCACTTTGTGTCCATTGAAGTTGAGTTGCCACCACTGTGCACGTCCTTGTGCAATATATATATATATATATATATATATATATATATATATATATATATATATATATATGTGTATACATATTCTTGATGTTTTAACCTCTGGCGATTCCAGGAGCTGACGCTGTCGAATTGTGCGACCGATTCAATGAGCAGAAATATATGTATATATGGTATATGTCTGTGTGCATTTAGATGCAAAAATACAAAAATACAAAAATTTCACACTTTCACACACAATCTCACTCCTATGGATACCTGCTTAGCCTTTGTGGATATTCTTTTGGCTTGCACGTGCACTCAATTGAATTTCATTGCAAATCTGGAACAGGTGCAAAAAGTCATTGCCCAAAGGTGTTGAGTGCGCACTTTGTGCATTTGACGACTTATATTGCTTTTGACCTTTATATGAATTTTATTAACTTGCATAATCGGATCGAAATATGAATTTATATAACAGCAAAGAGCTTACAAGCATGCTTAATATTTAGAAGTTATTGTTGTACAGAATTTCACTTGCAGCAACAACTGATTTTATATGAGCACAAATATTAATTATTCTTAAATAATAAATATATTTAAAAGTAATTAAAAATTGTTGTTCCACTAAAAAGTTTTGTTTGCTATTTTACTAAGACCATAATTTAAAATAGAAACTCAATTTGTACTATGTATAATTAATCGATTAATGATTGACAATAGTAAAACATATTTAAGTGGAACTTTAATTCAACGGTGAATATTTTGCAATTGAAGTAATAAATTATTCACAAATTAAGTTGATTTATTTTTTTCTAATTGCAGTTAAGATTCTTAAGTGGAATGTTGCTTTAATGATACATTTTTCAATCAAATTCTTACTGTGAGTAATAGAATATTATTAATTTCTACCTAAATGCAGTTAAGATACTCAAGTAAAATCTTGCTTTGATCGAGTATTTTTGCTTTTCTTCCTATGAGTTAAAAAATATACACAGCTAAAGATGTTCGCATTGGCCAACTAATAAACTTTGACTTAATTACTTGACCAAACTCATCACATTCTATATTTTTGACAGATTCAAATGAAATCAGGTCATTTGAGTTGTTAAAACTGATCAATTTTTGACATCTTAGTAAGTATATTAGTAGTAAGTAAATGGAAATAAAGTCAGTTTTTATGTGCATAACTCAGTCACAGCAGTAATGTTTATAGCACAATGAGTTGTGGTCTACTATCTTATATATGCAGTGTGCTTTAAGTGCATTTTTGGGGTGTATCTCATTACCAGAGAGCAAGTGTTGAGAGTGCAAAGCTCACTAGAGTTGCCTCTGAATCAGCTTATTTACTGTTGGCAGAATAAACGGGCAGTTCATTGGCTGCGACAGTGGGCAATTTGTACAATTGGTTGCAGTCAAAAGTGGGTAATGGGCGGTTGCCTGTGGGTGGGGAGTATGGTTCAGCAGCTTGGCTGGCCGTTGCTCAAATGAGCGCAAGTAAATAAAATTTACGGCCTGTTGTTGCTGCGGTGTGCCGCAAGTGTGCGAAATTCCGACACAGTTCGTTCAACTGAGAAAATCACACACCTACCCTCACCACCCTAGTGGGAGGGAAATATAGGGTTGGGAAAGCAATTAAAGCGATTGCGAACACACACAAAAAATGTAAATTAAATTTAATAATTGATGGCGCATAAATGCGACGGTTGCTGTCCACTTACTCACCTTTGAACCGACTCTCGCCAGCGAATATTCTCGTTGGCCAGTCCATTGACCAGCCGATGTGCCAGATCGATGGTAAAGGACGTTTTGTCTGCCTCTTTCTGACACTTTTGCTTCTCGGCCACGGCGTGCTCGAACTCGGCCTGAATATCGGCCAGCTTGTCCTCCAAATTGTTTATCTTCGACTTGAGATACTGCAGGCGTTCGCGTGCCTCGAACAGCTCCTGCTGTGCATCCTGCACGGCCTGCTGCTTGGGACCGACTATCAGGAAGACCTGATGATAGCGATGCAGATTGATGACCCAGGCGCAGAGGCCAGCTGCGGCAACGGACTTTTGCACGACTTTGTCCGGATTGAATTCCGGATCCTAAATTAAATGTATGTCTTAAATTTGCTTTCAATCATTGATTTTTCCAGAGTGGTTTGACTTGTGAGACCACCAGTAGAAAATTTGGAACCGTTCTATGTGGATTTGATGGGAGAGAATCTTAACATGAACTCCTAGAAGATGGGAGGCCAGTGGCCTTCTTCTTCGTTTTCAAAAATAAAATTTGTTTGGTATTGGGGCAAAATCTTTACTAAAGAAAAATATCTCTGCTATTAAGTATCCCTGCTTTATATCGTTATATTAATAAAAATATGCCTAGATAAAAACGAAATATTCAAAATGTGCCCTATAAAAGGACATACTCTGCACCCACCTTAAGATATTCCTGTAGCGTCTCAATAATATTCGGATGTATGTTATCCTTATTATAGTTGAGTAAATCGTTGAGAAATTGATCCACACGTACCATCATCAGTTTGGCTGTCTTCCAGCTGCGATCGCGTGGTATCTTACCGTTAGTGGCTAATAGAACCATTACAGCAGCGCAGACATTAATCACTGCCTTGGGCGGTGATCCAAAGGACTTTAGTTCGGTGAGATTGTTTTTGTTTAGAGTGTTGAGCGCTGCCTGGGCAGCGACCAGAGCTGGTTCGGCCTGTCGCAAATCCTGCTCGCACAGTTTAGTCTTGATCGAAACGTCCTCTTCGATGATGCGCACTCGTTTCTCCTCCTCGGAGGCTGTGAAACGCTCCCGCTTAACCTTCTCGCTCTCGGCGCTCACAATGCCGATCAGCTTGTCAGCGGCCGCATTTTTGGCAGCCAATTGGACTTCCTGTATGGCCAGTTGATGCTGTGTGCCGCATAGATAAAGAGCAAAGTTAATTCTAACTCAAACTGAAAGGTGGTGAAGTTTTAAGAAACTTTGCTGGCCAACGAAATTAATTAAACCTCTGACTCGCTAGACCAATATTGACACGTTGCAACTTTATCGCACAAATTAAAACACATGTGCACACACACTCACACTTAGACTCAAAACAGGTCCTATCTACACTCCATTCTATGTGATGAAAACTGAAACTGACATCTGAATGAATTTCGTTAAATTCAATTAGTTTAAATAACATTACACATTCGTTTTTGGTCTCACTGTGTGTGTCTGTAAACTTTTTGTTTAGCGCACAAAAGTAGGCTACAAAATAAATGGAAATGCTCCCAGACCAGCCGGCATTGTCATTGCCATTGGCATTGCGTATACGCTACGTAACCGGAAACGACGCGTTCAATTCAAAGTGTGTATTCATTCTCGCTCGGCTGTCATCCAACTGAGAGGTACTTTACCTAGCCACCAGCTACACCACCAGCGTCAGTGCGTTCCTGTTGTCGCAGATAATGGGCGGCAGATTTGCTGTAACAACAATTCAATTAAGCCCACTAATTGAATGCTACGCGCGTCGGGACGCTTCGAATATCGGCAAACGACGACAACAAAAACAAAAAACTGACCACTCGCCCTATGCACGTCTGTACTCAAACATATACAAATATATATATATATAGATATGTAGGATGCAAAGACTTTATACAAAAATTGAATTGAATAAAATGAATAAAAAAAATACATAGGGAATAAATATAAATGTATAACACTTTGGGACAACACATTGGGAACCAATTCTAAAAGTTCTGGGTCCAAATGAAATTCATTTTTAAATGGATTTGAAAGCAGTTACTTGCAAGAATTATTAATGTTTTATTACATTTGCATTTTTGCAATTGTATTCGACAATAAAATTATTGGAAAACTAAGCAAACTTGTACAACATTTAAGCCGAAGGGTATGCCATTTTTTTCGCTTAATTTTAAAGCATTTTTTTCCCTGGAATGTAATATTTATTTACGTCATTTACTCACCTTTAGGGTGTCCACCTGTCGGGCGCATTCAGCCAACTTGGCCATTCCGCTCTGCAGGCGAGCGATTCGCTCAGCGAATTCGCCATTTTTGTCAACCAACAGTTTGCGGTAGAGGAAAATGTATTCGAGAAATGTTTTTGGTGTCGTGTAGTTGTAGCGTTTTTCATTCTGTAGATAAATTTTCGATATCTGATTCACTGTACCATGGACGTAGGCCATAAAGCAACCGATGGGCGGTATGAGTTCGGCCTGTAAATAAATGCGATTCAGTTTTGTTGCTTTTTCTGTCACCTGTGCTGTGTGTGGTATTTATAGTGACCATTGCGACACTTTAAAGTTGCAAATTGAAAATGTTGCAGAACAGTTGTGTAAATAAAGTCACCTCCAATATGTCGCTGATTTCGGTGAGAAATTTTTGAGATACAGACTCCAGTGCACTTCGTGGCCACTCGTGGAACCAATTAATGGCTGTGCGACTGAAAATTGCCGGAAATTTGCGGGCCCGTACACGCAGTGTTTGCCCAACTGGTGAGAGGCAAAGCACCACTTTGAGTAGACGTCGTACCTTCTCAACAAAATACCGCCAGCAGTTCTCCTTGGTATCGAGTGCACCGCTCTGCTTCACCTCATTGCGTATGCCATTGATGATCGTATCCAGTTGATCGTCATTGAAGAGCTCCGGTATCTCACCAGAGGCGAGCAAATCATTGATCAGCATTAGTATGGACTCATCAGGCAGCTGCGCATCGGATATAAGAAAAACAGATGACACATTCTTAAGTCCCACCTTCATATAGAGACTCGCAATCTCATCCCTCATGTCGAGCAGACCAAATCCTCGTTTGATTTGAATCTGCGATACACTCAGCGAGGAGATGAATGCGGCCAAGCGTGCCAGAGTTTGTTTCCCAGAGCCGCCGACGCCAATGAGCAGAGCATTGCCACGAGGACTCTCCAGAATGCGATTAATGCTGGAATTTGGATATAGATAAAATGGTAAGAGAATTAAACTAAGATCATATTCTTCATCTCTCAGAGTTCTCATAAAAAAATCAATATTCTATAAGTAAAATAATGGGCATGCAATGAAATCAAATTATATGTTTTCAATATGCTAGAAGCACAACTTGGTTTGGGATTAGTTTAGTTTGAAAGAGGCATAAAATTACGACAAATTGTTCAAAAATCTAACAATTCTGTTTTTTTTTTTTCAAGCAAGCGGACAATCGAATATGGGATTCATCAACTCATATTGTTTGTAAATATTATATATGTCTCTCCGAATGCTTTACATATCCCTTAATTAGATTATACAAATCCACTTAGGTCAACTTACCGACATACATGTATCATGGCGTCTTCGAATAACACCAGATTCATATATCCAACGATGTCATTATAGCTTCCCTGCGCTTCCAGCAGCAGCTGGTACAGCGAATCCCAACTCTTGACCGGCATATACTTTTGATCCACCAGCGATTGTGCGAAATGGCAGTAAACCAAAGGCTCGGCAAACACAAAATCCTCATCAAAGTCTTCGAAATCCTTTTTGAAAATATCCCGTATGGAGGACTTGAATGATTTTATATCATATTGATCCACGAGACGATCATGATACACCCGATAAGCCTCGTGCACATAGAGCCTCATCAACTCTGCGGGCTTACTGCACATGGTGCCGCTGTAGCTGCTGTCAGCGCCACCCGCCGAGACCGGAGCACCCACGCAATTCACTACGCCCTGGTAGATGTTGGTCAGGTCGCGCAGGTTGAAGATGTAGTGAAACTTAATGGCCGTGGGTAGAAAAGCGTATTCAACGCGACGATGCAAGGCGATGCCCACCTTAACCAGCAGATTGCCAATGGAGCGAATTTCTTTGCTAAATCCCTGTAATGGCTGCTCCAGGTGATTGTTCAATATGCTGCTGTATATGTAATGCAGCGTCTCCTCGCCAGGTGGCGCCACGGAGAACACACAAAAGTGCCGCTGCAGGCGTGGATCAATGGTGAAGGAGCCAGCAGTGGGATTCATGCAGGCCGCAAACTGGCAGTGACGAATATCCTTCAGTTGAAGTCTTTGACGATCATACCTAAATGTGAATAGCAAACGAACGACAACATCGAAATCAACATCAAATAGGCCTACAAAATTTAAAAGGATTTCAAAAGATTTTTCTAAATTTTAAACGATTTTAAATCGACTGCTTCGAAAACATTCATTACGATAAATATTAAATACTAGATCAAATTGGTCTTAAATAAAAACAATCAATAATTATAATCATAAATATTATAAATTATAAAATTGTGTTTTCTGCAAACAATTGGCTTTCATTGAGACAAATTTACTTTGAAAAGATGAGTAGTAATTGATTTGAATTTTCTAAACATCATGTTAGTTTTAGTTATGCTCGTTGCTAATTACAGACTCACCACTGCCGATAGTCCATGAACTGCCGCATGATTGTGTGCGGTTGCACAGTGCCATAGGCATCCACCTCGGGCATGTTGAGATCATTCACAAAGTAGATGAGGCGTCGCTTGGGTCCGCTTGGTGCATAACAGCGACCAGACTTTTTTTCCAGCGGTCGATCCAGCATCTTTTGGAATATCTCTGATGTGGTATAGAAATTAAAGTGCGTTGCCTGCACCGTGGTCAGCAATGGTGTTGTGGATGATGTTTTCCGACGCACGCTGCCATTGCCACCGTAGACACCACCAGCAGCAGCTTCAACACCCGCTGTAATGTTGCCAACAGGCGCTGTCTGCTGCTGACTGCCGCTGACAGCTGTCACTGCAATTTCAAGCAGCTCCTGTGCACTCGCATATTTGCTGAAGAGCTCACGGAAGATGGCACCCTTGCCACAGCCAGAGGTGCCCACCAGCATGCAGGCGAGATTGCGGTCTATAAGCAGCTTGAGGAAGTAACCCAGACGTGTGGTTTCTGCTGTTGAAATGAGCACGTTCTGTGTGTATAAGTGTGTGTGTGTGTGTGTGTGTGGTGTGTATAACCAAAGGCTTTGCTTGCATGATTAGTTCAACCATTTTTCAACTAGGTCAAGCACGCACCTGCAACGGTTGCTCCACTTCGATTTGATAGTCCTGCTGCTGCTCTTGGGCGGCCAGCTCGGACCAGCGTTGGAACTTCAGTGTTTGTACATTAAGCTGATAGTCAAATAGATTGCCTTGACTGGGCAACTTGACGTCCTTGTACTCGCCCGTCCACCACTTGTGGAACTCGCGATGCCAGTCAATAATCGTGTCCTGATGCAGTGCCGAACCAAAGCTCCACATTGTCACATACACAAAGATCGTCTCCAGAGCCAGCTCGGCGGACTCATGTGAGAGTTCGCCATGATGCAGGGTGTGCGAATTGATACCCAGATGTTTTCCGCCCCCGCGGCCAGTGTCATCATCGGCCTGGTCACTGTCCAGCAGGCACTCGAGCAGGTGACACGTCATTTGTATCATGGCCATATCTGTGATGGGCGTAATACGACGGAAATCATGCTGTTTTTGCATCAGACTAGGGAAGTACTTCTCAAACAGTGTGGTCAATATGCCACGTTCGATCATATTAACGCGTGTCTCCAGCCAAGAGGAAACAAAGCTAGGATAGGGCGAAAGGGTGAAAGAGAGAGAAAAAATTATAAGGTAACCTAGTCGAATTTGTGTCTGACTAAGAGATACCTGTACAAATATCAGTAGAGTAAAAATAATGTGTAATTTTTCTATGGAAGCTAATCTAAGAGATCCCATTTTATCCATATCGCATTTAAAGTGTTTTCTATTTTCAAATTTAAATACAGTATTTATCTAAATCCAAACTAAGGCATTCCTCACAGAAACCGGTTCAGTTTCGACAAAGTGATAACTAAAATTCGATAATATTTGAGTAAACATCAGGTTTCAAAATTTAAATGCAGTATTAATATTGATGGGCAACCATGTCTACAAATATGCTGCTTTTGAAAGTCGGTTAAGTTTTGACAGAGTTTTGGCTACAGGAAGGCTTAAAAATCGTCATTTGAAGTTATTCATCCTCCGACTTGCCTATGAAAATATAACATTTATAGTATTTTAAGCCACCAGTTTAATATTTTTACTTAAAAAAACGTTTCGAGGTGAGATTTTGGACTGGTTGATGCGCCATAAAATTGCCAATAGCTAAAGTTTTAACTGACCGACTACTCTATCTCATAAAAGCAAATAATTTATGTTAGTTTAATGCTTACGGCGACCAGCCAAGATCCTGTGGATTGATGTACAGAATGCCAGCTCGGGAGACTGTTGCTGGTGTAGCCGCCTTGAGATGACCCACCTCGAAGAGGAGGCGCATCTCACGCTTTAATGAAATGCGCTCATTGCTGGCCAGCGTCAGGATCTTGTTGTCGTCCATCAGGGTGTTGAGACTCTCAATCCACATGGGATCAATGTCGCCATCGAGCACAATCCACTTGGGATTGCCCGGCGGCATGTTGGCCTGCTCTCGCATTATGGATGAGAAGAGTCCATCCTTCCACTCACGCGTCGTAGGATTTACAATGCCAAAGAGCTCATCATTGGACAGTGCCTTGGGATTGAGTACGTGACAGACTGGCTTCATTTTCTGTATGCGATAGGTTTCACGTAGTGTTTGCCAAATCTTTGTTTTGCCCGTGCCGGCATCGCCCACAATGAATACGGAGTGACGAACATCGAGTAGTTCCTGCAGCTGCACCACCTTCATGAGGAAACCCTCTTCGGGCTGCAGTTTGATTTCGTTGACAGCACGCCGGATGGTCTTCTCAAACTCAAAGACGCGCTTTCGGGGGACATCGAGTGCGGGGAAGAGGTCACCAATCAGGCCCATAAATATGGGCACATCCTCTGTAACAATCTTGGGTATGTTGAAATCACGCAACGCACGCATTAACACCTGATCCTCTGGACGGCTGTGGTCATCGCGTTTTAATGTGCCAGCAACGACCAGGACGGATTTGATGGCGCGCAGGCCCCAGTCGTAGTGATCCTGTTTGGACAACAGCTCCTTGCACAGCGTATAGAGTGTGATAAATTTGCGTGCCAGCAGACGTGCATCCTGGAAGCCCTCGGCCATTAACATAATCTCACAAATCAAAGCAAAGTCCGGCACAATCATGGCGCATGGGCGAAACAATGTTTTCAGGTTTTCCGGCAGCTCGGTGCGGCCAGCGTAGCCCGGATTCATGGTGATAAAAATGCCAACCGCCGGCTCCAGCGAGATGCGCTCGCCCATAAAGATAAATTGGGTTTTATGCATCTGTAAACAGTAGCCGTAGCAGGAGAAAAAAAAAACAACAGCAGAAGCAGCAGCAGCAGCAAGTTTGGTCCATGGGCAGATACATGCAACCAACGAACGTTGTCGTGGTGGCAGAAATGTAATCAATGTGCAGCATTGCAAAGAAGTGGATGTGAAAGTGAATGGGAAAGGTAAAATCAATTTGTGAACGCTTCACAACGTCGCCGACATTTGTGGTCGCACCTTTATCGCCTCCTGTATGGTCTTCACCTGGACGGCGACCACGGAGAGCACCTCCACACAGATACGATTGAACTCGTCAAAGCAGCCCCATGCACCAGTCTGGGCCAGCCCTTTGTAAATGTTGCCGCAAGATTTGTAGTCCATTTGCTCCGAACAGTTGAAGACATAAACCATTACGCCCAGTGCACGCCCCAGATCCTTCGTCGTTTCCGTTTTCCCTGTGCCAGCTGGTCCAGCAGGTGCGCCACCCATCACCAGATGCAGTGACTGACGCGGGGGTTTCATGAATGTATATATATATATATAAATATGTATGGAGACGGGTGTATGCAGAGGTATGCAGTTTGTAAACGGCATTTATTTTCCACTAACGAGTTGTTTAATTTAAATACAAGCGAAATTGGCATAAAATCAACATGAAAAGGCAACGAATTAAGTCAACGACCTCTCGTCAAGAGACATGCTCTAATTGGTGCATACTTCCATTCAGTTAACATCATTTATCTATAGTATTCAATATATATACTTCGTATACGTACGAGTCTGTATGAAAAGTTAATTGTAAATAGGCATGAAATGTTTCCTAAATAACTTGTGTGTTTATTATTCATTCAGCAAAATTTTATCGGACTAAGTACATAGATTAAATTAAAAAATAATCAAGGATTTATTAGTGGCAGTGTGTTTATATTTTGTGGGTGCAAAACAATTTTTAATACAAATTAAGTTTGTATATGCTCATATAAAATTCCAAATTACTTATTTGAAGTAATATACTTAATTCTTTAAAACTCAACAAAAATATAAATGTCTTTGTTATGGACAAGCACTGTCAATAAATGACTATGTAATTATCTTTGGATAAGCACTAATATTTATTTCTTAATTTAAATCAGTAATAAGTGAGTTATTTTCAATAACTCTTTATTTTAATAATTTTCGGGTGTATCTAAGAACTTTAATGATGTTGACAATCGCAGTCGCATCGCTCATATCATCGGTAATTATGCAGGTTTAAATAATTTGCCTGCAGTTGAGACTAAGCTCTTATCTTATAAAATTGATTCAATTTAATTATTCTTTAAACTTCTTACACAATAATTAATTAAGGCTGCCTACATTAGGGTCATATTGTTAGATGTTTATCAAAACAAACTGAAGTCATTCACTTGATACGCCGCCAGCCCTTTTATTGCCCGGACTTATTCTCAAAGTATTTTTGACTGACCTATTTTTAAACAAACTCACATTTTATTTGGTTACACTACAAACAGCTTGAGCAACGGAACGTCTTTATAAAGCAATCTACACTCATTTAACAAGGGAGTTGAAACTTAATTCGTTAACAAAAATCAAACACTTTTAACTCCAAATTATATAAAATAAATAAATTTTAAATATATAAAATTTCAAATAAAATATTTTCCACATTTATTTGTATGGTGTTTGGAGGAAATATCAAACGAATCGGAGGTTGAATTTAAATCAACAATAAACTTAATTTTATTGAAATAAGGTAATATATAAAAGTTACTTGATATTGATAAGCACTTATGATAATTGCCTTTTTTGTTCCTGATCCCAGTATCTTTCTTCTCCTTTTAGGTATTAAAGTATTCTATAATTTCTCTTGGGAATCAAAGCTTGTGAATGAAAACGTATTTTATGTTTAATTTACTTAAAAGCTTCTGCGAGAATAAAGAGTCAACTTTATTCATGTATTTATTCAATAATGTTTTCCCTTGCGCTTAGCCTAAAACTGTCAAAGTCGTTCTGTCAAAAATAACAAGTTAAAGTAAGTTTTATTTTTAAATGAATGTGTACGATATCCAATTATAAGATTTTAAAGTGTAAAGTTTTAATATTAAGTGGCAAAGATTAAAAATACTGCTGAGTTGTCTGCTCGCTTGCGAAAGTTGCTAAAAAGCAATACATTCTTGAATATAGCATAATTATTAATATAAAAAGCTGTCATGTAAAGGGTAATACGTGTTCGGCAATCTCTAATGCTATATTTATTTAATAATGATTTTCTCACAACATAAACAGATAGACATATAGATTTTTCTATATGCAAAAAGTTACGAGTATATTCTTGTGTAAAAATGTTTGGAATTTCCTGTTCCGAAAGCAATTCATATACATTTACATGTAATCGTATTTGTTATCTAGTGTTTGAATTTCCTGAATGGCAATTTCATATAATTGTAATATGATTAAAATTGTGTAAACAGCAAGTTTTATTTATTAAAATGCCACTCCCTCATATATAGAGTGATATCCGCTTCTAAGCGCATAAATTCATGAAGTCTCAAAATTAGGGGTGGAGTTTGTGTAATTTACTTTATTGTTGGTCTCTTTGGAGTATTACGAAAAAAACTGTTTTTAATTAAATTTCTAATAAAACAATCATAAAGTAATCAAGTTTAATGCAGTTTACTTTGTGGTGAAAAAAAGACAAAAGAGCGAAATGAAAACGTCAAAGTTCGGCGGTTGAGAAAATGTCAATATTTTCTCGATTGACTTGAAATTAATTTTCAAAGCTGTTTAATGTCTTCTCTCACCTGAGTCAAAGTGATGTAGCAACGATCCGTTAAAGGTGTGATGACCAGCCTCGAAGTATTGCCCAGGTACTCGTAGGCATAACGGAACTCCGCATCACAGATGTTGGCAAAGCAATCCTCCTCGCCGCCTGCCCCGCCGTTGCTAATTGTTGTTGCTGTGGCGCCACCACTGGAGCTGCCCGACTGATCGTCATCCCAGCGATGACGCAGCTGGCTCTGCCACTGAAATGCGAGAGAGTTGTCCACCTTGGTGGCTATGATTTTGCCAATGACGTCCCGCGAATGAACATCAATGGTGCAGATGGTCATGATCTTTTGTCGATCGCCTGGCGAGAGTTCGCCCAGCAGCAGATTGATTAAGGCATTCAGTTGTGCTATCTGTCGCTTGTGCAGCTCCTTCATGGCCCCCTCGTAGCCCTCCTCCATGGAGGCAAACGAGCGATTCACATCCACCGTCCAGTGGATTTGACTGCAACAGAGTGCCACCTGTGCTGGCCAATCATAGAGCCATATATCCCGCGACTTCTCACCAAACGCGACCAGAGCACGCCGGAAGAGCTCATGAAGTGTGCTTCTCATCTGCTGGATGACGCCGCGCAGCCAGAGCTCAACGCGACCCGAGCAGTCGATGAAGGCTGCTTGATCTTGATCTTGGCTTCCCACAAAGGTCACATACTCATCGTTCTCCTTGGAGTGCATGCCCAGGGCGTGTGTTGTATTTGTCTCATATTGCAAACGCAATATGGAATCGAATAGTTTGATAAGATGGCGATCAATGACCTGAGGATTATTGCCATTGGATAGTATGTCCAATAGATCGGCAGCGGATATGAAATAGAAGCGTGGAAAGACCAAACGCTTTGTCTCCAGATAATCGTTCAATGCCTTCTCACAAATCGATAGACGCTGCTGCAGTTCCAGCAATTGCTGGAGCACATCCTTATGCTGCAGCACCACTTGCATGACGACGCGAACGTGATTGACTCTGGCAAGGAGATTAGTGAAATCCTCGTCGATGCGCTCGAAATTGGCCGCATCTTGTGGCAGCTGGGAGCGTATGTCCTCGGATCCAATGAAAATGCACTCCAGATAGATCCATTTGCGTTGCACCTCAAACCAATTGACAATTAGAGTATCAATGCCGCTGAGGACACGCTGCCAGTGCCCCAGCTTGTCCAGCAGATATTCAATGTGCTTCGACGTTGATATATTCTGCAGTTGCATCTGATTATCGTCCAACGTTTCAATCAACTCCTCGGAGACTTTCAGCAGCCGCACTGTGGGCCGTGTTTGGTGCGGTTCCAATTCGAATTCCAAATGCGCCCAAGTGGCCTTTATGTCATCCAGGACTTTGGTAACTGTCATCTCTTTGATAGCGCGATCCACAGTGTTCTTAATATCCTCCTCGTGCTGCTGCAGTTGCAGGCTAAGCAGCTGCTCCAAAGTTGTTGATGTGTTGCATTTGTACGAAAGCTGGGAAAATGTGCAATAATTGCGATATGGATAATTTCAAAGAAACCAATCAGTTGTTTTGTTGGCAATTGTTGTCGAATTAATTACTGAATCTCAGTAGCTCGCCAACTATTTGGCAAATATCTAATTTCAGTTAACTAACAGCGTATGTGTGTATATCTGTCTCTGGTAATTATAACGTACGGGTGAAGGCTGCCAGTCGGACTTGTGGGTTGCCTTCTTCACGTTATCAAATTAATGCATTCGCCTTGCCTTGCGGCTCTCCCAACCTTTAACAATGAAGACAGTAAGCAGCTGCATCCATGACAATGATATCAATCTACCCACACACACCGGCACACCCATAGACAGTTGCTCATCTGTAGTTAATAAGCACATATTAGTCAGGAATTGTAACATGTTGCCACAGCCTATCGAAATATTAATTATGAAAATCACATGCTTGCCCCAAAGCGACTAACACAACTTGCATATTATGGAATTGATTTTCACTTACTAATTCTTCCATTTTATATCGTCCAATAAGCTGCGAATAGACAAGGAGTTATTTGATAATTAAATTAATAATAATAAATTGTGTAAACATGGGTATTAATAGTTTAATAAATTATGACATGTTTGGCAATTATTTTCGGTATTTGGATTTATCTTTGTTGCCTCATGCATAAATCTTTGCATAGAAAACTAAGTGGAAACTGTTTTTCATGCGCCAGCAGCCAAATAATAGCAACGCAGCTCAAAGCAAAAATAAAAAAAGATGAGAAAATTGCTTATATATTTAGTCAGCATATTTAAAAACTCGGTCTTATCTTCTAGTACCTATCAAAGGTAGTCGCTGTATTAAAAACATGTAAGCGACAACAGATAAACTTTCTCAAATAGATTCTGACACCTTATTGTCGTGTTCCTGATAATTATCCACACAGTAAACCACACACATACACACACACACGCACACACAGACACACACATACACACACACACGCACACACAGACACACACATACACACACACAGGCATAGAATCCGAGCACAATGCGGAAGCACAGTGCAAATTGGAGGTATGTTGATCAATCAGTTGTGATTGCATCGATGAACCACGATGATGATATGGTTGTGGATGGGTACAGTAAGAGGATAAGGGTGCGTGTATTACCGTTATTGATTGCAAACATTCAATTGCTGTAATTTCCACGAGCTGCTTACCTTTGACAACTGCATGAGCTCGAGCCAATGGCGTTCGGTAATTGCTGGATTTTGGAGTTCGGTAACCGCGCGCAGGGAGGCAACCAGGTCACGCAATACGCCCACTATGTACACGTAGGGCGCCCACTCTCTGATGCACTTATCAAGTGTGCGCAAATCACGCGTGAACTTCTTGCATTCGTGCTCCATGTCGTCTGTATCGATGCGAAGCCAAGGTGTCGCATGCCAGTCGACAATGCAGGATTCGATGACACGCACAAAGTCCCACAATTGCTGCAGGCAGGACAAAAGCTCTCATACATACACTCAACAAAAAAAGTAATAAATAATAAAATAATCCCCCTGATATTTAGTATATGGACATACTTTTTAATTTCATAATTTTAAATTCAATTTCCAGAACGGTAAGGTCTTGTACCCTGAAGCCATTATAAATGTGAAAGGGTATAACAGGCAAAAGGAGGCATCTACAACTACATAAAGTATATATATATATATATATATATATATATATATATATATTTATTATTTATATATATTTATTATTTATCAGCGTCAACAGCCGAGTCGATCTAAAAATGTATCTCTGAATGAAGAAGCCGATCTCAGAGACTATAAAAGCTTTCGTATACCATACTCCAGTTCATTTAAATTTAGCGATATTGTCTTAATATTTCACAAATATCGATATAAATCGATTTCTGATAGTAAGAAAATATACTAATTGTAATTCAAATTTAATACTTTAACTGACATATTACTGACTAACTGCTAGAATGTAATTAAGATCAAATTAGGATCACTGATTTTGTCAACATTCCATGTATTTGAGGGCTTGGCTCAGAGTGTCCCCTTGTTGAGCTCTTTCGTCTACAGAATTCGAACTTTTTTTTTATAGATTAAACTTGTTCGATTACACGGTGATTTCCATTTTATGTCGATACATTTCAGGGCGATTATTTTGTTAGTGTGTAGAAACTAAGGGACAAGACTCGAAAGTGGTAAACGACAATGTGCTCACCTTTACACGTCTGAGCTCTGTCCGACAGTGCTGCAGAGTGGTCGTGTCGGGTTCGTCAATATCTAAAAGTCGCGCCCAGGACGCATACCGTCGCTGTTGGCTGTCGAAGTGATGGAGATGCACGTAGACCTGGTCGCAGGCATCATAAATTTGCGGACAGGACACGTGAAAGAACTGCAGGAGGTGGTGAGGATTGAGTTGGGGGAAGCTAAAGCTTGAGGGAACGAACTGGCTGGCACTTACCGGCATGCGTTGGAACTGTTTCGCATAATGTTGCACGTGGCACGTATGCAGGCCAATGAGTGCCGTTACGCGCTGCTGTTGATAGTAGCGTGTATCGTGGAGTGCCTCCTGTTTGGCCAGTGCCTGCTGCTTCAGTTGCTTCCACAGCACTGGCAGCTGTTCAATGTTGCGCATCAGCTGTGCCTCGAATTCCACGTTGTAGGTCCTTAACAGTGCCACGATGTCCTTCAGCGGCTTAAATACATTGTCCGCATATGGCTCACGTTGCCGAATCTCCGCCATGACAGACAGTACACGCAACAGTGCCCTAAAGTCCTGGCGTGCAATGTGCAACTGCAACGTCTCGTGGCTGCGCGCGATGAAAGCGTTTAGCTCCTGCAAAATGTATCATAACTTTTTTTCATATCGCACATGCTACTTATAAATTTGATGATTTATAAAATTTTACTAACATTAATAATGTTGATTTTTGTGTTCAACTAAAAAAGTTTGACCATAAAAGACACAAACTAAGTAAAAGTATAATTTTGGAGGAAAAAAAATAAAAAAAAAGTCAAAAATTCAGAAAGTGAAAGATTTTCTTGATTAACAATAAGTTTAGGTGTAGCTAGAGGTGTGGCACTTACCTGAAGCGTTTGCTGCACATAGCGAAGCAGCCACTGCTTGTAGAGATGCGACCACTTGCAGGCCAGATTGAGCAGGCCGTGTTTTAGTGGCTTCACATCGAGGTCCAACCAGCCATTGATGCAGTGTCGATTCTCGTACAGGTCGATTTCATCGTGCAACTCGTTGTAGCGCTCGATCTGTGGATGGGTGGCATATATGGTTAAGATGCTTGGGGCGTTGACAACTTCATTTGCCTGGGTTAAAGCAAATTTCTTCAAGCTAATTTAGCGCATATGTTCATATGTGTGTGTGTGCCATTTACTCGTATATTTAAACGTTAGTCCAGGCGGAGCGTTTATTAAGCGCACCAGCTGTGCCAGAGGCGACTCTCAATGGCCGCTCATAAATAAAATGCCGGTCAGTGATTTTATTTTCCCCATGCACGAAAGGGTATTATACATCTATCCTAAACTTTATGCGGTCGGGTTGCTATCTGTTTTGAGTACAGTTGCCGAACTAACGATAGTTTTATGATTGTTAGCACAAACAGATTTTGGCGGAAGCAAACACATCCTTAATAAATTTGATAAGCTTTTAAATTATCGAATGAGGTTGCTTAGATTCGAAATTTTTGCTAGTTCTTGTACTACTCTTAACTATTTGGTACATACCCTCAGATATCGGGTAATTGTTTTCAATAGTTTTTCTATTTTACAAGATATCTTTACACATGCTCATTCAAGATACGTTTTGCCATTACAATAAGATAAATGGCTACTTATTTTACAACAAATATTAATTTTAGGATTATAAGAGGCTTGAGCTGTCCGAGCTACAGAATCACTAATAACTCTGCGTTTACTTACTTCTATTATGTCTAAGAACAAGAAAGAATACATTTTTTTTGTGTCTATTATTTCTGCATTTCAGAGCAAATCGCTCAGCGGACAAGAGCATTCAAGATTCGTTGTGGGAAAATAAATTCATAGTTAGTTTCTCTCATTTCATTGTGGCACTCAATTCACAGGCTCACGCTGAATGTTCATGCATTTTGGACCATGATTTGTTGTTGCTTGTTTATCTGCTCTGCATTTCAATTCATTGTGTGTGTGCGTGTGTGGCTTCCTTATGTTATTTATGGCATACTTTTCGGGGCGTTTGATAATTGTTTAAAGAAAATATTACGCATACGCAAGCGATTTGCTCGCACAGAATTTGACTTGGACTTGCCGACTTGTGGGTAAGCATAAGTCAGCGGCGCCATGTGGCTAAGCAGCTTGTGGCTCCAATCCAGATTTGTAGGGGAGGGGGGTTTGGCAAAGACAGCGAAGATGGCTCAATGGTCGCAACGCCACACACATTTGACCCTAAATGGTCGACATTTATCAAGCGTTATTGGTCTCAGGGGTTACACAACGTAAATTGTGTGGTTGCCAATTGAGTGACCCAACGAGCCACTCGGTCACTTGAGCCTCTGCCTCATCTGTCTGTCCCTCTCCTAGTCTGCCCGTCTGTGTGCGTGGGAGTTTGGCGGGCTGCTGCTCGGTTGCGCAAAATGTTTTTTATTTCGTTTTATTCTGTCAAATTCGTTCGCCATTAAAAATGTGTAAAAAGAGTATCCTGCAGTTGTGCACATGTTTTCAACATGCCGAAGAAGGCATCAACGATTTTATAAACTAAATATTTTTCTGATCAACATCAGTAGCCGAGTCAATGTTTAGCAATGTTCGTCTGATTGTCTGTTTTAATAAGCCGATCGCAGAACCTATAAGAACTAGATATCGCAAATTTGGAATATAAGTTATTGTATACCAGATCAAGTTTATTTCATTTTATCGATAACTTTCACAGATATAAATCCGATATAGCTCAGAGGCATTATTGATCAACTTTAATTTTCATTAAATTAATTAAGTTTCGTTAAGATCGTGAAGATTTCGTTGAACAAGTTACTATCAGCAAGTCAACTATGTTTTTAACAGTTCCGTTCGAGGTCGAGATTTCTCGATTATATAATTCAAACTACAGAGTATTTCCTTAGTTGAGCTAGTCCGCACAAGGTAATTCTTACTCAATCTTTTGTGTTCTTTTATTCATTCAGTGTTGTCTCACCTCCTTTTTAAAAGTTTCCATGATGGCATAGCCACTGCCGCTGATGTGGGTCGTCTGTTCGCCAGCCATCTGCATGCAGGAGGCGAAGACGGCGTCACTCAACTGTGTCCAAAGGAACGCATAGGCGTGGAATTTGGCAGCATAATTCAACGCCGCCTGCACGGTCTGTGTCAAGGCGTCGCGTATGCTGCTACACAGCATTTCCACGTCATCAGCAACTGCTGCAATGGCTGCGAATGATGTATTAGTAGGAGTAGTCGTATTGTCGTGTTGGTGGCATAAGCAAATTCAAAGAATGCGACACGACTTCAACTAAGGGGATGAGTACCTTTTACAATGCGCCTGGCTGGTTCCATGCCGTTCTTGAACTCATTCTCATTCCCAACATTGTTGGCGTCATCGTCGTCGTCGCCATCCACCTCCTCGTCAGACAGCGCTTTATCAGACACAATTCTTGGCATGCAGTCGCATGTCTGTTTTATATCCAGCAACAGCTGCTCGACAATTTGTTGAAAATTATTTTCCGCACTTACATCGAAGGCAGGCGAAAAACGTATTTCCGTTTCCGTCAGCTCCAATTTCACTTCGAATAGCGGTGCATCGTTTGTTGTTGTTGTTGCTGTTCCTGAAGTTGCTGTTGTTGTTGGTGTTGGTATTATTGTCGCTGTAGCCTCTGGCATTGTTGTGATTTGCTGCTGCACTAACCTAGCCACGCTTGGCAAGACCGTACTTGGAGTTGAGGGCGTTGTTGAAGTTGCCATATCTAGAGTTGTTCCTGTTGTTGTTGGTGTTGCTAGAGTTGTTGCTGTTGCTGTTGCTGTCATTTCCTTGTGCAAATACTCTAAACTGAATTACACGGCATATGAGTAATGCGAAAATTAAATTTAGTTCTCGGCTTGTTTTGTGCTTATACGCTGCTGTTGCTGCCGAAGTCTCTGCATGCAATCATGAAATGCCGTTAAGTGAAACATGCAATTGACGCATGAATGCACTGCCAGCAGCAACATGTTGTTGTTGGTTGTATTTTTCTTGCGGTTGCTGCTGCTGTTGCAAGCGTATGTCTGTCTGTCTCTCTGTCTGTCTGTCTGTCTGTTTGTGTGTCGTACCTGCCTGTCTTGCGGTTACTGTGCGCGTATAGCGGGTGAGTTATAAATTCGTGTTCATTTACTTGATTAGTTTTGATGAAACATGAAAGGCGCTGGCAGCATGCCAAAGTGTAATGAATTTATTTGTTGCACGTTCGATGTGATGGTTTATATATGTATATGTATGAGAGGTATTATATTGTATATGGGGTGTGGCATGGCTGAGTGAGTCATTTTTATTGCTGTGCAATCAAGAAAGAGGTGCTACCTGAAAGTCAAATGAAAACAATATTTATGAAGTTTATGTTGAAGATGAGTTGAAAGCACGATGAGCATTATGGGAATGAGCATAAGATTGAGTGCTGAGCTGGGCTGCGAAATGTTTCAAACCTGATCCTTGCCGCCTGGCGCACTTCGCTACAAATTAACTCATCGACATTGGCCAAATATTTGTTAAACTGTCGTCGCTGCTCATCCGGAAATTCGCGCACAAACTGTCAAGCACATAATAAACAATTGGGCCAATTGGGCCGCACAACAAATAACAACAAATATTGGGTCAACGAGGTCGCTCAACTCACTCACCTCCTGCACGTTGAGATCACGCGAATACAATTGAAACTGTTGCGACTCGTAGTTGAATAGCAAACAAAAGTTGGCTATTAGTAACCGATTTAGCAGCATTTTCGTTTCATCGCATTGCAGGAGACGCAGACGCACCCGCTCCTGCTGATGCCTCAGATCCAACAAATTACGACCATACAAACTGCGCTGATGCAGTGGCTCCCGACTCCAGCGGCGCATGCTAGCCATTATGGCATCCAGATTGCCATGCGATTGCTGCAGACGTGCAAACAGATCGCGTGACTTCTCAAATATGCTCTCAATCAGTGGCTCATCTGTTTGGGTGAATGCTTTTATTTAGCCTTGCAGAGTGTACTACAATTCTACACCGAACTCATTTGGAATCGGAAAATGGGTCTAATGAAGTTGTGCAAAAATATGCAACAGACAGAATTAGGTATTTTCGATCCTATAACCTATACTTATTCTTAGTCAAAATCGATTTAGCCACGTTTTATGGATCAACTGTAAAATCCTCATTAAGAACGCATAAGAAATATTGTTATCCAAAACACATTTTCAAATTGAACAAACTACTATCAGCAAGTCCTCCATGTATTTAACAATTGAGAGTAACTGCAAGTCGAGCCTACTCGACTAGTCCGTCTGTTTGTTTGCTTTACTTACCGTAATTGCGCCAGCTCAACTGCTCACATGCAATGCCAACTTGGCCATCGATAGTGGCCAGTTCTGCTTCAATTAACTGGAGCTCAGCCTCGGCACACTGCCCGGCTCGAATGCCGTTGTAGTACTCGTCAATTTTAATGAGTCGAATGCGACGTTGCCAGTAGGCATCCCTCTCCTCATAGAGTGCGAGCAGCGCCTCGGGCATTGGGAAGAGCTTAGATGAAAAACTGCCGGACGCCTGCAATGCGAGCAAATATTTGGTTTCCTTGAGCAGGGTGAATAGCGCCTTGGCGAAATTTGGTTGTAGTTGTTGACCAGCTGTTAATTGAATCAGCACTGGCTCGGTCAGACCCTCTGCTATCATCCTGTCTATATCCTGCAGCCAGCATTGCCAGATCTTAAGCTGTAGACTGCACATCTTAGTGGTGAGAATATTGCGACGTGACACCAAAGCATCCCAATCAAAGGGCAGCGTTACAAACTGTGATTTTAGTGTTAGCCTATTGAGCACAAGATACGAATTAAAATATCAATTTAAGATAAAAAGTATTAATAAATCTACTTTATCTTATATTGCTAAAGAAAATAAAACTTTTTTTGTCATCAGCTTCGATTTTAAGCTGTAAATTAAAAAAAAAAATGTTTTCCTCAAATATTATTACTTTTCTTAAAAGGTAGAAACTAAAATGTTTTATTTATGTTTTACTTTTTCTTTTAATATTTTAATAAAATAAGTATTAAATGTTAAATTAATTATTTTCATCAATTTTTACACTAACTAATTGATTGGATGTAGCTTTTGATAAAGCATATTGCTTTCTTAACTTACAATGTTTGGATGAGGTCTGTGAGATCCTTTGCGCCGAGATCATCGCAGCGATGAAGATGCTGCTCCAACCACATGATAGCCCCTGCAATGGGGGGAAAGTTGTCAGCAAGTGGCATCGCCTCGAGACCGTGGCACTGGTAGAGCAGCAGCACGTCTGCCACACTCTGTTCCAGTTGCTGCAGCTCCGCATTGTACATGTTGAGCATGTGAGGCAGCAGACGCACCAGTTCCGCTTGCACCTCGCTACGCTGTAGCAGGCAGCCAAACATTAGCGTTAGCTTAAGTAGATTCCTCCAACTGTGACACTGCTCAAAAGCTTGCACTAACACTGTGGCAAGCTTCTGCTCCAACAATTGCATGCGGCCAAAGAAAATGCATTGTTCTCGCTTGAAACTCTTCCATTTGTGGGCCACCGGTGCGGCGAGATCTATGTCCACATTCGTCCATTGCTCGAAGAGCCGTTTGAATTCGTTAAAAATCTGCGTAAGGCATCGTAAATGGAGAGAATAGGAATTTTTTGGAAATAAAACTATGAATCAGAATAAACAAGATTACAGTTTAAATTATATAAAATTGGTAAAGATATTTTCGAACGTGTATTGCTGCAAGCAAGGCTTCAACCTTGCCACCCTTCTCGGAAATATATGCAAATATATTCCGACGCATTTTGTGTGGAAAGGGTAAATACTTGGCATATGCTCTACATTACCTCTCTGATGCGTTCCGTGAGCAGTTTACCTCGAAGACCGCCAATTTCGAGTTTCTCAAGTTGCTGAAACTGAACTGCTGCCTCGAAAACATGTCGCAACTCCGTTAGCTGCAAAAGGAAGCCGTCGAGTGTTTGGCCAAACACTTGCTCGCTGGAGAAGCGCCACAGCTGCTGCTGGTCAGCTGGAGTCGGGGATGGAGTTGTGGCTGCAGCTGCAGCTGCAGCAGATGTTGTTGCAACAGCCAACAGAGCGGGCAGCAACACTTGACTGCTGGCATAGCGTTCCTTGTAATCGAGCACGCGCTGTCTGATGAAAAGTGCAAGTGAATCAATTCATTTGGTTTGGCTTCAATTTGAGTTACTTGAAAAATTCCAACACTTCGCCAGTCTTCTTTATGCGCTGCAGGCCCTCATCGGCGTCGCCTTGGAAGAGCATGGGGAACTCCAGATCTTCGGCGGCACGATGCACCAGCATGTTGCATATGCAGCGCAGCAGTACGCTCATCCTTTGTGTGCTGCGATAGAAGCGAGCATTGCTCCAGAGCAAGTGCAGCACATGCACCAGCGGCGCAATCAGCTCCTGTGCATTGCTGAACTGCACCGAATTGAAGGCGGCAGTTTGACGCTGCAAGGGTTGCAACCACAGGGACACATCCTTTGCCTCCAGCCAGGCGGTGAGCAGTTGACGAAACGCCTTCGCATACGGCTCATAGTAGACGGACTGAATGCGCTCCAGGATGTGAGCCAGTGCTTTATGCACGGATTCGCTCAGCTGCTCGTAAATGTTCTGCAAATTGAGCTTCCGATTCGTCCAGAACAGAATCTCCTGGGCGGGCAGCGTGACCACATTGAGATGCTTGGACGATGCTGCGCTGCCAGTGGTTAGGCCGATGGACTCGGAGCGCTCCATCACAATATCATGCATTTGTGTTGTCCAATTGATGAACATCTCCTCGAGTAGATTACGAAACTTGGGATCCAATGCAGGTCTCAGATTCCTATTTCCATGCAAAGATACGAACAATTTTTCCAATTATAATAATCATTAACGTTTCTATTCTACTTTGTAAACAATTTATCTTAAACGGAAAGGGTACAAACAAACAACAACTACAAAAAACAAATTAGAATGATTTAGTCTAGAAAGGTTGACTGGAAGATACTCTGAACTTAAACACAGGTTCATAAATTCGATTCTAAATCAACAAACAATATAGAAGGCTTTTTGATATTAACTGGTTCAATATGAATATCTATGTTTCTGATCCGATATTAATTTTTACAGTCGAACAATAGGTTATAGTATATATGAATGGAAGGCTAAATCTTTATAATTGTGACTTTAATTGGTGTAGGGATTGAAGTTGTATATAACTTATCGTTATCATTAAATTGACTTGCTCTGCCTATGATATCAGAGAAGATATATTGCAGATTTTAAGTCTTTATCTCATATTGTCTCCGAAATCGGTTCAACTTTTCAACTTTTTGCCTGCCAGTCTGTTACAAACTAATGCACAACTTCAATATAGCTCTGTTCACTTTTCAATGGGTTCAGGGTATAGAAAGTAATTATTGACCTAATTTTCAAACATTTCTATTTGGCCAAGCAGCTCTGTGCCTTTATCATTATTTCTCTCTCTTGCCATTTCTTTGGTCCGTTGTGCTATTTCTGTTTTTGCATGGCTCTCTTAAATATTGCATTTAAAATTGACCAAAATATATCTCATTTAATAATTGATTTCTATGATGGTATTGTCTGTCTTATGCTATTTAATATACCCTCTACACATTGAAGAATAGATGAAAAGGTTGTATATACATTTAGCTATATATCCCTCCTTAAATGTTGAGAAAATAAGATTGGAATAAAATATTACTTTATTATGCTTATTATTTCTTGATAAACCCTTTCGTTCCGTTAAATAAATAGAAATCGATGTATCATTTCCCAAGAAAGTTATGTATTATTTTATATTTTGAAGAATATTGGTGAATTCAGTCTTCGTTTCTTTAAACCCATAACAATCGCTAGTAAACTTGCCAACAATTTGTTTTTTATTTATTATTATTATTACTATTTTTTTAATTTAAATATTTCCTTGCAATGTGCAGCGTATCTTACAGTTGAACATTCCTAGTTCGTGTATCTTAATTTGATTTATGTCACAGTTTGTGGCATTTTCAAATGGCTTCTTTGCAATTTGAGACTAATGACTAAAGACATGGTTTGCAATACAGAATTTACGTCTGCAACCAGTCGAATTTTCCTATTTTAATTACATCTTATATCAAAAGCAGCTTTTTTAAGATTGGTTGCAACAAGTTATTGACGATACACATAATAAATTTACGTAAAATCATGCGATAAAGTTGTGTGCTTCCAAGTTCGATTTATGGGCGCCCTTTCCTTTTGTACATTGTACATTAATATATATAAATATATATATATATATATATATATATATATAGATATATATAGAAAGAGAATCGACGCCACCAGCGATGACACAGCTGAAGCAGCTAAAGCACACGAGCCCTTGAGACAATGGCCATTGAGAGTGGGCCAAAAGTTGCGTTCAGCTACTTCTTCTACTTACCCCCGGTCGACGTGGGCCGACATTTCCTCGACGATTGTTGGCGAAACTAATAACGATAAAATTGTGCGATTGTTGGTTTTGCCCTTAATCTGTGGAGGATAACAATAAAGTATAAATAGCGCTTATAGACACACGAAAACTTTGTGCCCAATTAAGACAATGGCTTCGCCTCGCTGCACTCAATTAGATTAATATGCTTTGATAGCACTTTCGGCCACCCACCTCGGTCAGTGTGTTTCTCACATCCTTAACTCGCCCCTCCAAGTCCTTGCGAACCGGAGTTGGCCACTGGCCTTGGGCCTGCTCCAGCAGCGGTTGCAGCACCTCATCGAACAGCAGCGACATTGTCTCGATTTTACTGTGCACGGGGAAATCGCCATAGAGCACCGAGCTCTGGAAATTGTCAGCTGACAGCGGCACATCTACATCACTGTGGCGTATAAAGTAGGCACACTTGCCACGCGGCACTCCATCCAACGTGGTGAAGCTGGACGAAGGTGGTGGCATGGGCACGAGCATTGCACCCGTTGTTGTTGCCGCTGCTACTACAGCTGCCGTGGCAACGGTAGAGTCAACGGTTGCAGCTCGCGAGCCGCTGCTGCTGCTCTGCAGCGTATAATTGCAATAGAGATCGCTCACACAACTGCGGGGCACCAGTTCGCCGCCGGGACTGAGTGTCATAACCAAAACACGTGTGCGTCCACTCACCCAGTCCATAACAATGCGCTGCAAGGTTTATATAATAAGTCATGTATGTTGACTTGGACGGATGAAAAATAACTTCTTTTTTGTCGTAAACTAACTTATGGACATGAATTATTTGTGTACAAACTCATATTCAATTTTAATATAGAAAAAAAAATAAACAGTGAAGTAAGGACTATTCTCAAATACCATATTTAATTTTTAATTTTTTTTGTGCATTGAGTAACTAAAATAAAGATAACACTTACAGATATGCTTGGCAAAAGCATTTTAAATTAACTTTTCCCTATAGCTTCAACATGCTACATTCTGGTTAGTACAGAAATAATCAAAAAATCGATTTTGTTTTGGTAAAGAAAACTCACCCGGAACTCATCATGCGCCATCATTTTGGACCATTTATCCGGTTTGAGGCGCATTGTGGTTGTGGTATAAGCTGCCACGCGTTCCAAACGCACATCGCTGTAGTCTCTATGAGCGCTCGGCTGGTTGCTGATGGGTGTGAGTTCCTCATCGCTGCTGGCGAACGGCGCTGTATCGGCCATTTTTAAATGAAGCACACAAAACACAAGCCAAAAATGAGACCACAGAGCAATAGAATCAATTGATGTGGCACAGTAGAAATCAGCACGCGCTTCACGCGGCGTTTGCCGTTGAAATGATTTGGACCCGCGCCGCCATTCGCATGATCCCTAATGCCAGACCACTTGCCACTTGCCAGCTGCAGGTCGCATCGTGGGCACACACACACACATACGTCCAAACCAGCTCTGTCCCGCCCCGCCCAATCCCGCATATCGATCAAACTTCAAATTCGCATCAGGAAAAATACTTTAAAGTGTGTGTTTGCGTTTTAATGTGTACAGCAAACCTCATCCCTACTACCCCACATTCTAATCCGATGGGCAAAGTTTAATGCCAGCACGTCAGGCAAAATACTCCACAAGCCCAGCACCTCTCCCATTAATTGCTGAGCTGCATTCGCGAACTGAAGGAAAAAGTAATTTCCGACTGCCAAAAGGTGATTTCGTTAGCTTATGCCGCTCATAACTCAAAATCAACATCAGAAATCAGAACATCGCAGCCATTGACAAGGTGAGCAGGCGGCTGGATGGATACGTGCAACTCCACGACCTTATGGCGCCACATCGCTATGGCAATGTATGCAAAATGATGAGCTGGTAATGAAAAGGGTTCTAGCTACTGCTGCTGCTTCGCATGCGTAAGATGTGCTGTTTAAGCTAAAAAGCCACAATAAATGTGCTTCAAATGCTTCAAATGACCAGTTTATGAAGCTGCACAAAAAAAAAAACACACACACACGCACACATTTAGCACATTAAGTGCTGCTTTATTGCTGTTGTCAGCGGCAACCAGAAGAACAACAACTATGGGCAGCACAAGGCAAGTGCATTTTATGTTTCGCATACACAAAGTCGAGCTAACGCCAGCTTGTTTTGCACCCACCGCTGCACCACAGTACTGCTGCCAGCGCTACCTTGCCCCACACCTAATTCCTCCTCCTCCTGCCCTTCCCTGCCTTGGCCCGCCTTCCCTGCTTCGCCTGGCGCTGGATCTTCCGCTTGGCCACGCTCAAAAGCCAAGCGCACAGAATGAGTGACTGACTGACTGACTGACATGTGTCAAGTAACAGCAGCAGTAAAATCAGCATCAGCAGCAACAACAGCAGCAGCAATATCAGCAGCAGCAACAGCAACAGCAGCAGCAGAAGTCAGTGCTGCTAGCATGCTTAAAATGCTACGCAATTACCGCAAGTACCCAGAGAAAATGCAACTTGCTCTACTTAATAGTGGATAGTGCTCAGCTATAAGATGCCCTGCAGACCTCTTGAAAACTCTGCTGTGCATGGCAGCTCCCGGCCAGAGTAGTCAAACATGATTTCAGCATGTAACTGCAGAGTGGCCTATAAGTATATATAAAAAAAAAGGAGAACAGAAAATATTTTATTTTCTACGAGTCTAAAACAATTTCAACACGACCAACTCCCTACTACAAGATACACATCATTTTGTATATTTCCTACATATTATTAATAGATTCATTTTGTTTTTACAATGTTTTTCATTTTTGATTTAATTTCAAAAGTTCTACAAATTCTTTTGTGATTCTTTAGATGTAAAAAACGGACATATCTTTGAAATAGGTAATTTTTGTTTTAAACAGCTGCTGGTTTAAATGAATATGCCATTTAGTATACTCATAATGAGAGTTCACATTTTTTTTTTTTTTTTTTTTTGCTACAGGGTATAATGAGTGTATGATGATGCTCATGACGGCGGCCCGATTTGGTTTCCATACATATGTATATGTACATAGCTCTGATGCTCAAACTCCACTTTTAAATACCAGCGTTACATCAAAAACAAGCGCATGGCAACCCGCTGGTTGGCTGAATCCGCTCTTTGCTGCGTGGCACCCTCGGGATAAATGCATTGCCCTCATTTTTAGTGGCAGGCACAACTATTGCGGTTCCTGTGGTTTAAATGGTAGCTGGCGTGCTAGAATGTATGTGTGTGTGTGTGTGTGTGTGTGTGTGGGTGTGTGGATGTGTATGTTTGCATGTGTGTGTGTATCTAACTAGACTAGCGGGACACAGAAAGTTTGTGCTAATGAATTTGCTCAAAGTGTTTGCTTCTGTGGCTTTAATTTAACTTACCCGTTGACTAGCTGCTGTTGGTTTGTAAATAAATGCAATTTCGTTCTGTTTATTGTTCATCAATATTAAATATACATATTGATATACACATTTGTGTTGGCTTCTCATTAATTAGAGCACAGACGACAAAGACGGCCAAACCTCTATCCAGTTGTACTCTTCAGATTAAATGTTCAAGCTAAAGTGGCACCATAATATAATAACTCAGAAATATGTGCATAAATAGCGCTGGGGTTCCAAGTCCAAACTTGAAAGAAAAGCAAGAGGCAAACCAGAAATGAGAACCGCAAGCTTCAAGAAAAATAAACGCCAAATTGATTTTAAAAGCACTTTCTTGATGGCCCAAGCTCACTTCAAATTAAGTAAATCGCACAAAAAGTGTAACTCGGACAGCGGCCGGCATTGAGCAATGAAAAATGGAACTGAAAAATGCTTTTACCACATTTTCTTTTAGCAACGCCGTCGCATTGGTATTAAATTTTTCTTTTTATATCCTGTAAAATTTTAAGTAAATGCAGAAAGTTGAACTGATTACAATATCCACTTGTATAATAATAATTTCGGGCGTCATAAAGTATATACAATAATAATCAATTAAATGCAGGGACAAAATTAATGAATTTAAATGACAAAATATTTGCAGGATTGTTGGTTTTTACGAAGTTAAGATTCCCAGAAGGGGAACTTAATATATATAGATTAAATTTAAGACAGTTTAATCAATTTATTCAATTTATTCAAACAAGCTTTCTTGAGTAGGAATATGTATTCATACACATAAATCTGAATGACTTATATTTTCACACAGGGTATTCGCAAGTCAAGAACTGATGCCCACATTTTTCCTACTATTCCTTTTTTTAAATGAGTAGCAAGCCAATTCACGCCGCAACGCGAAACCCACTGGATGGACCCCATAGACCCCGTAACCCTGTGATCCACGGAATCCCTGAATGCCTCGCCTCAACTCCTGCCTGGCTTGGTTGTAGCTGCTGATGAGTTTCATTATGTGCGAACAAATCATCACATGCCAACGACAGTGCCAGCTGAATGAACCGACTGCCAGCCAGACTGCACGGCGTCGCGCTCGTTTAAAAGCCATTTCGTGCATTTGTTAAGGATGCTCGACGCTCTCTGCATGTGTATGTGTCTGCGTGTGTGTGTGTGTGATTGTATGTGTCTGTGTGTCTGTGTGTGTGTGCGTGGAGAAAGTCAACACTATTTCATTCGAACAAAAGCCATTTGGGCAAGATTATGAGAGCGTTGGGAGCATCTATTTAAAGCGGCCACAGTTCGTATTAGTAATGTGACAGGGCATTCAATAAGAGGAAATAAAATCAACCTAAGGCTTTGCGCACATAAAATACCCTAAGACATTTATAAATATGTTACGCCATGTTTCGTAGCAACTTTAACTTCATGTCAGATTTCTATCAAGTAATTTCAATAAATGGAAATAAATGAAAACATAAATGTTCTGCAAATTATAAAAATAATTCTCGAGTTATCCGATATATATGAGAGCTTCATATTTCACAGTCCCTTACAAGCAATGAATACCCTCGGCAAGGGTATAAAGGACAAAGCGTTGGCAACGTCAGCAAATCGATCAGTGTACAGTTTTCCATTAAAACGCCTAGCAAAGAAAGAAAAAATAAAAGCGTTGCCATTGCTAGTGTAAACAACATTGGCAACTAGCCCAACTGGTCTTCGTTCTGACCAGCATCTGTCAAATGTTGAAACAAAACCAGTTAGCTGTCCCAGTGGCAGCAATTGTAGAAATAACAACAAATATCATTCTTGGCGGTTGTGTGCTGTGTGCAGCCTAACGACAACATTCAATAAACAATTCACAATTGATTGACAAACGGACAGGCGGCCTTGTCATTTAGATTCACTGCCGACGATTGACCAGAGGCAGACATTGTTGGCTAGGTTCTGATGACGATGACGACGATGACGACGACCACGACAAGTCAGCGGAAGGATGTTAGTTCGAGTGGATGAGGAAATTGAAAGGGAATGTTGACAACAAACTCGACAAGAATGCAGCTAAAAAAAAAGGAGTGGACAAAAAGTCTGAAATGCCAAAAAAAAAGTCAAAGCGCTTGGCACAAGTGAAAACAATAAAAGCAAATTTCTGAGCGGACATCCGCTAGAGATTAGACAACGCCCTCCGTACTGTGGACAGTCCGGTTTCTGTAGCTATTCGGTATATAGGATGCATTGTGTTCAGTGTGTCGACGGTAAGAGCTTTAATGTTTTCATCTGTTCACGGTGGCTTGCTTAAGCTCTCTCTCTCTAAAATTGTCTGTGGTTTACGGAACGCTTGATACTCTAATGTGATTCAGTGGTTTGTTAAACAAAACTTTTGCGACAATTGACAATTTTATAATGCTGATTAGCTAATTGCCAGTGGACTAAATTATGGTTGGAGTATATTTAAGCTTGTATGCTCGCAGAATTCAAGATAAGAAGCAAGCAGTCAAATTTGTTCAAACTGTTTGTCCAACAACTACAAATAAATGCATACAAAACGAACAACAAAAACCTATTTTCTTTTAGGATATCTCCAGCTTACGCAGAACTCAAAAATCACGGCGATCACGAACCGAAAATAATCACTTTGTTGTTGTAGATGCCATGTTGAACTCGCATAGTTGCCACCTTGATCATTGCTGCAAAACAAGGGGCAAACCCTTAATTAAAACGCCTTCTCATTAATTGCGCACGTGACGTTAGCCGCTCATTAACTTGGCCACGTTCTGCGGAGGTATAGTTTGGCATTTGGCAGTAGCTGCTGGGCAAAGTTTTTGGCGGCCAATAAAAAAAAAAAGTGAAAAAAAACAAGTTGGAGTGGGGGTCAGCGCAACATTATGTAAGGCAAATCCTTTTGGCAATTAGATACTTGCAACCAATAAGAGCACAGTCGCACAAGCAGAGATGGCAACAACGATGGCGACACCCACAAATATTGCGCCAGTAAGTATCATAGTATCGTCGTGGTCGACGTCGCATTTCGCAGTGCAAATATCCCATTACTCGGATGAAACTTTTAATTAAAAAGTTACCAATGATAAACGGAAGGGGCAAGGGGAATGGAGGACTGTGGCGAGCAGAAACTTCTGTACGCCTTGAGAAATGCTCTGTAGTCGTAGTCGCCAACGCAGCGAGCTGTCTCAGTCTGGCACGCACGTAATTGAGACAAACTTCGAGACAGTAAAACATTCGTGCTATGCCTTGGGAGGCGGAGAGGTTACTGCTGGATGCCAATGAGAAAATTACGACATTTAAACCCGGAGGTTAAATGCACGTGAAATATTAAGTTTAGTTGCATGAGAGCACACTAAATCTTCGGCTTGTGAGACATTTGCTTGCCACAGTTCCACAGTTCCACAGCCCCACTCTCTCAATCTGTGAGTGAGCTGCTAATTATGGCTTGGCTGTGGCCAGATGGAGTCTCCAACTTCCTCACCACTGCATCAGCTTTCTGGCACGCAAAGCTCCACTTAAAATGGTTGTTGTTGTGCAACAACGGGGTAGCTTCTTGCACAACATCTTCAACGTGATAAATTTGCGTGCGAGGAGACGTGCCTCCCTCCTCTTAGAATTCGGACTCTAAAATTAGTCGGACTTAGGCCAGAGCCAAAGGATTTCCGCTAAAGGTATTTTATAGATCTCGAAACTCACAGTAAAGATATTTTTCGTCTTATGCACTGCTCTGCATATTGGTCAAAATCAGTTGTATCAGACATGGTCGCAGATAAATGCAACGATTGAAAATGCAGTCGAGCGTGCGTGTTCCGAAAATTGCACAACGCTAAAGGATTTGGCTTGCCTAGGGGCTGTCCAGTATTGTGGGCGTGGTGGCTGCTAATTATCCTGCCAGTGTCAATGGTGAATGTAACTGTTACGATTTTGCAAAATAATCAGAAAATGCTCTCGAACATTTTACGTAATGCGAAAACGCACAAAATTGCACGGGAAATATGCAGTGCACATCGCATGGCTGTAGGTAGGAGTTTGGGAGGGGTTTTTTTTGGGCTGCATGAGGCATGTGATCCTAGTTGCCTTTTCTGACTCTGGTCGGGTGACTCGACCGAGACAATTGGAGCGTAGAGGACAGCGGAAATGCTGTGGTTGTCATGTTGCTGCCTTGTTGCGTTATCTAATTACAAAGGAATAGTGCGGCAATGTTACACAGTGTTCGGTCTGCCAAAATTGTTTTGTTGTTTTCAATAGCATAAGCAAAATAATATTTTATCCAAATGGTAATTACAATTCGAATCTACAAATACCCTACATCCAGTTGGCATAGCATTAGCAATATTACAATTATTAATCCATTTACTTTTAAAATGTTAACAAGATAATGCTTTGAAATTAGGGATAAGAAATAAATTTAAATAATTTATAAAATCCTTTGTAGTAAAATTCTGATATTAAAATGAATATTTTCTTTTGTAAATTGAATTATTACTTCTTCAGTACTATGTAATTCAGTAATATGCCAAAATATTAAAATGTAATTTTTCAAAATTTTGTATAGTCTTTAATGAATAGATTTCCAATCTTTTTCAGATCCTTCAACGTCTGTATGTCAATTTAATAGTTAATAGAATCGATTGTGAACTCCTTTCCATAATTGGAGTAAGACAAATAAGTACTTGTAACATTTAGTTGGTGTTGTTGAGGCCAAACTGACAAATGTGAAAAATGGGTAACTTTTCCTGTTGCACACATACTATCGAAAAACTCTGCAGGCATCCGATTTGTGTGAGTGTGTGTAGGTGTAGACTTATGGGTTTCTGCCTCTGTTCGGATCATGGCCCGTAGATAGTTACACATAACCAGTCCCATATGCGCTGAATACACTCGAGTCTAATAAGTTTTAGCCAAATGCCCAAACAAGCGAGCACCCGCGCTTGAACACAAAAACACACACAATCACACACATATACACATACATATACATATCCATATAGCCGGTGGTGGGATAAACAAATGAACGGGACGCCCATTGGGGGCCACAGCTGCGTGTGTGCTACATTTGAGGATGCATGCCGAAAAATTGTCAAACTGCCGGACGCGGCCCGAAAGTCAGTTGGTTTAGAAATATGCTTAGCCGCCTTCCGGCTGCCCCATTGGACCTGCCCCATCCGACACTGGTGGACACTTACCGACGCCCCAAATTTAAATTGACAAAATATTTGGCTGTGTCACACACATGCCTGGTCGTTAACTGAAAAATTTAAATCGCTTGTTTGTAGAGCGCAAAAAGTCCCCCAAAAAAAATAAAAAATCATCGGTTAAACGGCGACCATTGAGCAACACAACACTAATTGTGCGTTTGCCAACACTTGAATTACAAAAAAAATATTTGCGACAATTAATAAAAATAAACCCGAATTTTAGAGCTCAGTAATTGCTGGCAAATATCAAAACAGAATATCGAGGTGATTTGGGAGTGTTCGCATTGGAGTTACTCTGCAGCCAGTCTTAAAGCAGCACCATATGCATTTCAATGGTAGAGGATGTGAAAACAATTTTTTCAGAACGCGTTTCAAGAATCGTTTGGCATGGGACAACGCGAAATTGGAAATATCTACAAAAATTATTTAAATGCTTCTGTTTTTTTTTATAAAGCTATTTCTTTTTACTGATTACCAATACAAATTTTATTTCAACCACTGGGAAAGTAACTTCACCCTAACATTGTGGTGATAAAGATATTCTAAAGTTATTATATCTACGCCAAAAATATGACAAAATAAGTATTTCGACAAGAAAAGAAGCGTTGTATAAGATACTATAGCTTTATTTTTATAATGTAATACCACATCAAAAGACCAACACTGGCTGGTTCGCTAAATTGCTGCGACATTATAAAAGGCCAGTACAGATTTAATTGTCGGACAGGTACAAAACATGTTGATATGATGCGTTTTAAAATATTGTTATACCCTAAAGCTATTAAAATTTGTGTCACTATATATTAAATCATTTTACTGTTTTAGGTTGTATACTTTAAATTTGATTTGTAACTGCGCGGAGCAAACTACACGTCAGATTAGAAACAACTTAAAATTAAATTCACAAACAAAAATGTGATAAACAAAGAATTTAATTGTTGTTAGGCCATCATGAAATCAATTTAACGTACTAGTTGCACATCGATCTATTGAACACCAATTGTAATGCCACGTTGGGGCAGATTTCGTTTGAGCAGGCGCCAGTTGATGCTGGTCGGCGGAGGCTTCTTCAGCAGCTTGGACTTGCTGGCCAGCTTGGAGCGCGTGGCACGCATGGCATGATACTGGCTGGCGCTGCGAACGACGTTGCTGAGCTGCTTTTTGAGTTTGGGTGATTTGGATGGCTTGAGCTTGAATTTACTTATTAGAACCTTTTTGCCATGACTGATGCCTTTCTTTGTGGCATTGATGGCCTTCTTCTTAGACTTGGATAGACTCTTGCCCGACTTGGAAGATTTTATGGTCTTAGTTTCTTTTAATGATTTCTTTGACTTCTGCGATTTGATGGGCCTGAGAGTTTTGGATATTGACTTCTGCGAGGTAAGCATAGCACCGCCCTCGGAGCGCACGGATTTGTAATTCTTGGGTTCGGGTTTCTTTACTGCGTATTTCGGTGATGGCGGCACCTGTGAGGAAAAAACTCGTGCAGCATGCACAATCGAATCGAAGTTGCCCAAAACTTGCATTATGTTCTTGTTAACGTACTGCAAATACTTGAGCGACGATTGGCACAGGCCGCACTTGTGGTCCTTTTCGCAATTGTTGCGTATTAAACTTTCCAAGTATAAAAAATTCTTGGCCATATTTTCACAATGTGGACACTTATTCATGACGCTGCGATCGTAGTTATTTTCCTTTAGATTTGCGGCGTGTTCGCTTAAGGCAGATCTTTGCTCAAAATTGATTTTTGAATTGTGTGGCACCAAGTAAGAATTATCAGGCTTTCTTTTACCAAACATTTTTCGTAAAACAAAAATTTTGTGACCTTTATAGGCATGAAGTGTAAATGTAATATTTGTGTTATTTTTAGATCGGATATCGTATATTTATATTTATATATTTACACAGCCTACCTGTGTCAATTTTTTTCCTGTGAGCCGGTTTTGAGTATTGTGTTATCTTAGATATAAACTCAGATAATGCTGACGATGCTTAAAGAAAAATTGCTTAAATTTATGCAAATATTTTTAATATATTTTCAAATAACTTGTAGTATTATTTAAAAAGGCATTTACAATTTACTAATAACTAAAATTTGGTGACAGAACTGATGAAAAGAAAAATCTTGCAAAAATGTCTTTTTTTTTGGCAAGTTCCTTTGATGCTAATAAGTTTTAAAGCAAAACAAAAAACAAGTAGTTAAAGAGCTAACCCCAATTAACTTTCAATGCATGTCGACCAAATTCACATAAATACAATTTAGTGCCCTCATTGCAGGTCGCTTGGCCCTGAGTTTGGCTTTGGTACTGGCTTTGGTTGTGGCTCGTTTAATTTCTATTTCCTTGGGCACAATTAGCGATAATCAGCTTGCAGTGGCAGGCTCCGTTTTTGTTGTGCGTTGTTTTCGACATTTCATTCTGATTTTCATTTCCAGTGTCATTTCGTATTGTGTATTTGGGTCAGCTCGTTGCGATGTGCGCAGTAATTTATTTCAATTTAAGATGTAATCGCGCTATTTTAGTTGGTTTGTATTTTTTTTACTTATTTTTTTTTTTGTTATCGCGTTTCTTCGGCAAACTCATTTTTAACTGACTAGTTCGTCCTCGATTAGATTGCGTTGGCTTAAATATTAACTAAAATGTTGCCCTTGGTCAGTGATTGCTAAAATTATGTTAATTTGGGTTACATATTTTTGTGGTTGTGACCAAATTTGGCAATTAAGCCCATTGCACAAATAGCTTTATTAAATGGTAATCAACTTAATTTTCCGACCTTGTGTGTCGAGAATAAATAAATCTGTCGAATGGAATCGATGAAGTCAAATTAGATATGTTTATATTGAATGTAAGTTTAATTGCAGCGAGTTATGAAAAAATTAAACAAATTGTTTATATTGATAACAACTTAAAATAAGTAGGCTTTCTGATAGTAATTGTTTTCAATTAATTTAATTTAATTTTTTTAAAGGAAACCTTATCGTCAACAAAATTGTTAGAGTTGTTGAGTATTAAGTCTGTATAGGTATATTATATGTCAATTAGACAGCTAGTGCTTTCATGAATTCTGTCTTTTATTGCTTTCACAAATCGATTCATTTGGATTTTTGCTGAATGCAGCACATTTCAGAGAAATTAAATAAACTGCGCATGTTAAACTATCAAAGTTTTAAGTGTGTAGCTCTCATTGTATCTGAGAACGACTTGTTCATATTGACAAATCGACTGTTGACGTTGATCCTGAATACATATGATGCTTCCATTCGCCTGTTACATACTATTGCACAACAGTCTGGTAATCAATTTAAAATAATGAACTAGATTTATTGAATAATATTTGTTGTATAGTTTTTATATCACACATTTAACTTAATTCGTGTGTCGGTCACAGTTATACATTATACAACAACGGTTGTCACTGAAACAAATGTATTACAGAAAATGTAATAAAATTTTACTTTTTAATATGTTCTGTATATGTTTGTTTGAGTTGAGTAAAGCAAAATAAATGATTATATTTAATGTAGTTTTTACTAATTTATTTATTATTTTTACGTTTAGCATTAGTTGCATGAAATTCCCTGCAATATTTAGAATGTTAAGTAGCACAGATATGATTATCTTGAACTTGGTTACAAAGCGCTTGCTTTTAGTTGCCATGACAGAAAGCATAATATTTAGCTTAATTTCCAAAGTGTTATTCATATAATCAAGTTTTAATTGCGATGCGAATAAAAAAGTTACGGAAAACTTAACCATTTCATACTTTTGAAGACAAACTTTTTGCCAAATTTGAGTGCTGCCAAAATCCGATAAACTTTTGTACGAATTGCAAGTCTAGTCACAGCTAAGCAGCTAGATTAAATTTGATTTTAATGCTATAAGATATTTTGAATGATGAACTTTATGATTTAGAAATGACATTTATTTGCCAATAATACAAAAACAGTTATATGAAGTTTGTGGCATACAAGTGTTGACACATTTTACACATTTCACATTTTATTTATTTGAAAATCTACTGTATGTGCAGCAGATCAATACAACAAGGAGAAACCCAGTTACTCACCAAACACCCTGTAACCCATCCACCCAAGCTCAACTCCCTGCAGGACACACACGGACTTACAAATTCGATTGAAAAATATCTTAGAAAAGTCAAGCGCAAGTGCCGAGTGACGATAAACAGAGGAGTTCTCGGGCACACACACACACACATACACACTCGTACTCGACCATAAACTTGATTGTTCATAAATGTACGGGGCGTATACGTAATGCATTAAAGCAATGCAGCGCTCTGAGCCCTGTGCAGCACTCTGATGTGCTTTGGGCGTGCCGGGACCATAAAGTGGCAGCGTAATGAATTTATTAAAAGTTCATTTTGTTAACATGAACAACGACGAGACATGTAGAAAGGGATCAGCTGATGTCTTGGCTCTGGGCTTGGCTTACTTGCATGTTGGCCAAGTTTATCCAAATAGACTTCAATCATTTGTGCTTTGCATGCATGCGACAACTGAGTGTTAATGGATTTGTGCCAAGTTCTCGTCGTTTTAGCAACAACGCTCACTGATTTATTCGTGGTCAGAAATTGGGACGTCGCAAGCGTTGCTGTTGCTATTTTTGTGTTTGGTGCGTTTGACTTTGGGTCAAAATGCCGCCCCGTTGGCACAGTTATGCCACACCGTTTTTTACTCAACATTTGACCCACAAAGGTCGGACCCTTTTGCTCTAACGACTTCCTGTGACTTCGCCAACGTCGACGCTAGCAGCGGCAACAGCTGCACACAACTAACTCTCCTCTACAAATAAATATGTAAGAGTAAACACCTTCTTACTGCCTTCAATTTGCATGTTGTTGTTGTCGCAGTTAAAGTTGACGTTGACGTTGGCGTCGCTGTCGCTGTCGGCGTTAGCGGCGCTTTGCCTTAGTGTATATATTTTTGTTTGCTTTCGTGCCTTACGTGTTTATGGCCTGCAAAATGGACGAAAGTGAAACTTGGCTTTTGCCGCTGGCTCTCATTTCATTTCACTTTCGAGTGGGCGGCACAGAGTTAAACTTTGCTCGGCATTTCAATATCAACAACAACAACAACAACAGCAAAAGCGGCATGCATAATTTCTTTGCTCGAGCCTATGTAAATTTATTCGGAAGTGTTCAGCCTTATGTGTGTTTGTGTGTTTGTGTCTTTTGTTCCAGTTTTAGACGCGTTCGGCTGAGTTTAGGCTCAGCGCGGAAAGCAGGTCAACTTCATTTCATTTTCGCTGACCGAGCGAACCACAACAGCTACAGCTGCTACAACAACAACAACAATAACAAAAACAACAGCTGCCACTTCCTTGATATGCGATTGCCGCACAACACACAAATTGGCACAACAGCAACGAGCAACGAGCAACAACTCGGCCATAATTTCTTTTGCAACGACGCCAAGCCCTTACGCCACACACACACATAGACATTTGCATTCACGTTTTTGGCTTATACTGCCTTTGATTTTTTATTGTTATTATATGGGAGTTGACGTCGCTGCCAACGTCGCGACTAGCGTAAGCTCGCCATTGGCTTCAGTGGCATAAAGTTCAAACTGCAAAAATGTTTTGCGGTCAGTTTGGATTTGAAGTTGGCAGGCAACGCGACGTGATGCCACATCGCACCTGAGCGCCGTCTAGCTCTCGGCAATTACAAATGCTAACCCAGCCAAAACTCCAGTTAGTTATTGGCGAACATTTTTGCCCAGTTGACTAACTTAAGCGGCGCTTCGGTTACCAGTTACCATTATCCATTGGACAGGTCGTGTCATGTGCCATTCACTTGAACTTCTAGCTGCTGCTGGTAACACCAACGAACTCAATTGTCAGCAATCAGTTGCACAGAATGTTTGATGAAACTGTTCCCACAACAATTGAGTGGCAGGCGTCGTGGTAACCACGAAATTTATAACGAAGAGAGTTTATTTTGAGCAGTTGGTAAGTTTGAACGTTAAATTGATTTTCTTTTAAGCTTGGCTAAAAATCCAAGACTTGTCTGGTGAGTCACTGAAAATTCCACTAGTGGGTTTTCCCTTTACAAAAATCGAGTCTAACCTTATGAGCAACCGAAGTGTAAAATACTTTGACCTATAAGAACGCATCCACTATTCAAACCAACACAAATGCAGCTATATATGTATATGAACAGTAGTATACATATTGATATTTTAAAAAAGCTTGTTGCATCCGTTTCTCGAAAATAGTGCAAGCTGAAATTTTTTCTATCGACAACCTGCTAAAATTGATGGCTATATGAAGTTGGCCCATAATATGTAAAAAACAGATGAAAGCATGTGCCCATAAAGCATATATATTCTTGATCATCATCAACATCCGAGTTGATTTAGCCATGTCAGTCCGTCCATTTCATATATTATAAGAGCTAAAGACCCTTAAATTTGGAATATGAGTTATATTATGGTATACCATACATTGATCGATTATTTTTGTAGCGAATATCGATTCGACAGCAATTAAATACACAATTATAGAGGTATAACATCTTAATTAATATATTATTTACCCCTGCATATTTTTGATCACTTGTAAAATGTTCATTAAGACCGGATAAGAAAAAGAGGTTTTGTTAATCAAAATGTATTTTCATGTTGAACAATCTAAAATCAGCAATCTATTGTATGCATCTTGATTTATTACATGTAATAAATTATATCGAAACCCTTTTTTTCAAATTTTTAAAGATATTTTAAATTTAAGTCAGAGCTAAAAATAGTAGCCCTTAAATAATGCCTGTGTTTGGCACAGGCAAGTGCGATTATTAAAGCATAAATTAAAATAAACGTAAATTCTATATAATAGTATACAAATATATAGATGTTTAAGCAT